GCATGCAAATGTCTTTCGGCAGAAATCGAGGCTTCTCATTTGTGACTTCAGTATTCTCATTGTTGAAGTGTGGCTATATAGGAAATTTTTCTCAATTACATCATCGATATGCTTAATGGCTAATTACTTGATCTCTCTAGGGATTTATTCCCTCTTTCCTCTTCTGAAATCATAACACTGGAATACATAGCAAATGGACAACTCTTATCGTCACTAGAAGAAACAATATCTTTGTGTTTTTCTAACCAGCTGAAAAACGTCTCAAGAGAGCAGGTAAGGAATTCACAGAAAAGTTAGGCTAGAATTATAAGAATTTTTATATCAAATCAGGATCAAGTTAAAAGCTATGCTATAGTTACGTAAAAAAGAGTACACGCAAAGAGTTATCTCTATAAAAAATAAACTAGTCATTTGTTTTTGTGATTGTCTCAAACCTTCAGGTGAAATGCTTGTTTTTGGATGGAGATGAATGGAGCAATGAGACTATGAGTGTGGGCCCAGTTAATGAAGATAATATTACGTGTTTGACAAATCACTTATCAAGTTTTACAATGGTTATTTTACCAAAAACAGGCGAGGTAGAACAACGTTTATATAAACGTTTTGAGAGCACCCGTTCTGTTTTTTTGGCTTCTTCGTCACCATATATATTTAATTTAGATAAGCGCTTCCAACAAAAAGGCATTGGATATGATCTATTATATTGGAACTGGACTATCACTGGCTGGCCTTTTGTTCTCGTGTGTTATCTATGCTGTCTTGTTGTAAGTATACTGTCTTTATTTCTCCAGTTAACTGACAGAGTGTGTTTAGAAGCAGCAAACTTTTGCAAGGGTTGGCTCTTTTAAAGAAGTATTTCAGACATGATATGAATATTCATTTTCTATTGATGATTCATTGATAAACTTGTTGGTTTTGAGACTAAATCGTATTCGAAAATTCAATTTTGATGCATCTTAAAATTTCAGCAAAGATCTCAACATTTTGACGACTAGTCGTCATTTGGTACACTTCAACTTGCAGATCGCATTGGGATTGACACAGATTGTTTTCCTTGTCGGAGGTACTGCCACAGAAGATGAGGTAATGGTCTACTTACACTGTGCGACTTGTCGTATACGATTCGTACCCTGGCGTATGTGAACGTATAAACACACGTACAAATGTGATACTTTAAATTCTAACCGGAACAAAATTGAATGAAGATTGTGGCATAGGCACTCTTTTGCATTCGTCAGAATGATAATTGCGTACAACTTATCGTGTGGTCTAAATAGGCCATAAGACGTTTATGGTGCATAATTAAGCTCTTAATTTATTTTGACATAGCTGAAGAAAACTGCTGAAAACAGCGAGGTGTGGAGGGGGAAATGAGTCATGGAACACGTCAGGCTTTCACCCCCTTTACTATATATATATATAATATCGAAACACAATACGAACCAATCTCGCATCCGTCATTCTATTAATGTATTTGCTTTTAGCTAAATCATACTAACTTCAATTCTCACAGGTCGCTTGCAAGGTTGTGGCCATCTTGGTTCATTATTTTTCTCTGGCCTCTTTTGTATGGATGCTTCTTGAAGCTGTGATGCTTTATTTAAAGCTAATCTCTGTGTACAGTGGAGAGTTTGTGAGAATGAGAAATTTCATGATGTTTGGTTGGGGTAAGTGCCACGTATTGATGTAGACATCAATCATCTTTTGTGTCAATCGTGAAACTGCGGCTATTTTTTTAATCATTGTGTTGAAATGTGCATGCTAAAGATGTGCAAGGTCCATAGCAACTCTATTATGGAACATTTAAAGTAACGATTTTATTACGTGCTAACTATCAATATCATCGTGTCGTTTCAAATTAATTAATGCACAATTTTATTTCTAAATATTTTTTTTCCCAATGATTTTATCTCCCGTTGGATCTCATATGCCATCCAATAAGCATATGTGGATATTTTGTTTAATGTTTAACTACTGAAATAAGCTTATAACATTAATTCCATTCACAGGATTCCCTTTGATATTTGTTGGTTTTACTGCCGGAATAAAAATTGACAAATATGGTACCGAGCAATGGTAAATTTAAACTTCTTTCTTGTCGTTCGTCATCGTCCACATCTAACGATTTATGTTAAACGAGCGCTAAAATGCTAGACGAACTAATTTATGATCTCGATTTGTGAAGCATAACCGTCTTGTTTCCAATGCTGTCATTCCGCTTTTTTAAGAAAGCTAAGATAGATGCACATACGACATTTTCCTCGTGCTTGTGAATTGTACGTGTCTTTCGTATTGACACTTGCGAAGTTAGATACACTGTAAAATTTTGCCCATGCATATAATTGTTCTTTTTTTGGATATCTTACAGAGAGTTGAAAAATGTAGGGATTATGTAGCGACTAATTTAAATCAAGTTATGTTGAGGTCCTTATACAGACAGAACAACTTCATTCTTTTACATGCAGGTGTTGGATGTCTTATGAAGATGGTCTCTTTTGGGTTTTCTTTGCACCAGTGATAATAATAGCTTCGGTAAGTATTAACACACTTTTTGAAAATGGGCCTAAAACGATTAATTGATCACGAATTATTCAACTCTAGACTAGCAATATTCGATTATCAGATCCTTTTATGTCGGGAAATTAGGTTCGGAAATCCTTGAACAGAGGGGGAGAAGTCATAAAATATATTTTCATGTATTTTTTCCGAATGGCAACACCATCTCCATTCGCACAGCATTTTCCTCGTGTCTTGACGTGCCTAACAAGAAAAAAAACTGCAATCGGTGACTCTATCAGAGGAAAGTCAGAAAACATAGTTATTGACGATAAAAAATATAAAAAAAACATTAAGAAGCGATGAGTCAACGATCAGCTCAAATTTCAATTCATTAAAGGTAACCCTGGTGGTTGTTATCGCTGTGGCTCGTGTAGTGTTTCGTCTTTCGAAGGCCGAAGTTACCGATACCAAGAAGAGAATAATGTAAGTCTTCTTATTGCATATTCATGAAATGGCATTGTGACATTTGACCACAAGCAAGCTAATAACTCGTTATAGTTTTGTTATATGTTTGCATGATGACATAGTGGCTTGTTCTGTTCATGAAAATAGTTCCTGGATTCATTATCTTTCCTACAGCACTGCAGCTCGAGGTGTTATGATGTTATTCCCAACTCTTGGTCTCTCCTGGGCTTTTTGTGTTATCGCTCTCTACAGCGATGTCATGGCATGGCGCTATCTCTTCGCAATTTTTGCATCACTGCAGGTAACACACAACAAAAAACACACAACAAAAAACACATAACAAAAAACACACAACAAAAAACTTTTTCGTATTATTGGTCATTATTTTCTCTTTGGTCAGTTCCACCACTGACTGTAGGTTACCTGCATGTTCATTTTTAAACTAGAATAACTGAAAAAATATTTAAAAGTTATTTTATATTGATAATGAAAAATTGAATTTCAATGCTTAATTCTCGCTAGGGATTTCTCATCTTCCTCGTCTATGGAGTTTGTAATAGAGAGGTGAGTAACAGTTGTGTTTATCACATACTTTTATTGCTAATCTGTGCATAAAATGATAGATTAAATGGTACGTTTACAAATAGCAATTCATCAAGCCAAATGATATACATTTAAGCACGTTATTTACGTGACGAATGTTAACCTGTGTTTATATGTCCTCAAGGGAGACCCCAACCATTAGTTTTTTAAGCTATTGGATTCGCTTTGATTGGACTTATATCATACACATGCAGTGGTATCAACAACACGCACTAAAGTTCTAAAACTGATGTTAATTGATAATACAGCGTTGTTGACAAGCACAGACAATTTTAAGTTGATTTTTTTGCAGATTCGCATAGCAGTTGGTCGGAAAATGGGCTACGAAGTTCACCCTTCCTCTTCCACAACATAGGGTATAGGTATTATTTATGTTAAAATATAGTTTAATGTTTTGCAATTGGATAAAAATATGTTGGCTATTAGCTACCACTGGTTGTATATAAGTTTGCATGATAACTTTTTAGTCTGTTCTTATAATTACTGTAGGCCTTACACTATAAAGTATTTCAACTATTTTCAACATTCGCTAAGCTCTGAAAATAATTCCGAAATATATAATTCTGATATTATTCTATACATTAAATTACGCATTTATTTCAGGCGGCAAAAGTATCTCCAGTTAAAGAACAATGATTAAGTATTAAACCGTATTATAATAACTATTAAAATGTATACGCTTTAAAGTAGATTTCGCAGTATAAAACACTTGTTTATTCCATGCTGTTAGAGATAAAACGGTCGTGCATGCTGTAAATATGTACATGTTTTTACGTTCATTTCATTTTAATTTATCATAGTGCACGAATTAATAAATAAACTTTTAGTATAAATTAATCTAATTTAATGTCAAGTGTGACAGCAATGCATCCAAGCTGCAAGATTTAAATTTGTAAAATAAACTGCTATATATTGTTGAGATTGTATACAGCTGCTTTTAGATAAATAAAAGCTCCTAACATATTTTATGTTTATTTAATATCAGAAACTTTATGGATCATCACTGTGCATCGCTAGCCGCGAAAAACCCCTTGTTTAGACGGGGGGCATGCATATCTAGATATTCTATAATATCCTATAAACTGCATAGAACAAATGGAATTAACAAATATGTTGTTTGAACTGCATCAATGAAATAATCGGTTAAAATGAATTAATAATTTATTTCGTGCTTTTATGAAAGAAGAGTGATTTTCATCCCATTGCTCGTCATAGTGAATTTTAAAATCCGTTTCATTCAAAGTGGTTTTAACTTGTAACAGTAAATTCATGAAATCATGACTTCGTTTTTTATGACGTAACTACCAAAAGGTATATATGAAATAACGTATTCAAAGACTAGCCAGCTGCAATATCTATGTCACACTTCGATGTGTGTGAGTGACACATTGAACAATTTAAGTCGTTAGTATTGCTATATCCGTTATCTTTGGGATTATAATGATCCCATCTGGAATATAAACCCCTATCATCGTTTCCTTATTGGCTAAGCACAAGAGAATTGCACTATACTCTTTTTATCTTGTGTTTTTACACATTGGACTTACCGTCTACATAAGGACAAGCAATGCTCGCTCATGAAAACCTTTTATATTTCTTAATTGCTGGTTGGCTTCTCTGCTGTTTATCTGGTCTAAAGGTATATGTATTTAATAGTATTTTCTTGTCAGTATTGTAACCACAGTTATTTACTTATTTTCACAAAAATATCAACGCTTAATTGGCTCCGGTATCTAGGACAATATTAGGGACCTTAAGATGTACAAAATCTACGACGCGGAAATGACATGAAGCAGCCGCTATTGTTATACGAATCTAGTTTTAATCCGTTTTAATTGCTGCCTTCAATACGGCTCTGACTTTGTTTACCAAACCCAAACGAAGTCTATAATTTTTATTCCTGTTGTGAAATTGCGGAAATAACAACAGTATTACTTCACGTCCGCGTCGTAGATTTGGTGCATCTGAAGGTCCCCAATATAGGCAGTATAGAAAACACACTTACTCGAAAGGAATTTTCGAAGTTTTAGAAACTACAGCTGCATGCCTATCGTTCCTTAAGCACTCGATGCTTAAAGTTTAAAACGACAAACGTCGGCGAATCAGCTGTTTAACGACAGTTAGAATACTACTTTTATGAGTCCTTAGCACGTTTTAAATAAAATATAGATTGATTCGATAATAACTGCTTAAAATATAAACAAAATATATATTTACTTTTTGGCTTTGTTTTACTAATATAACTTTTATAGTAGGATAAAAGCCCTTCTGTCGAAACATCGATAGTATATATTTTTGCCATGCAGTTATAATGGCCAATAAACCTATATTTGTTTGTTCTATATATGAGGAGGTCGCCTTTCCAATATGTTATTGATGCTAAACATGCAAAATGCACAAAATGTATTCCAATGCAATGCTCATTTATAATTTTTTAATTTTGAATAATTCGGACGGACAATTGTTTAAAATATTTCAAATCCAACCGACGGCAAACAACGCTAGTTCTCATGCACTGAGGGCAATGCAGAATAAGCATTTATTTGTATATCAGAATCTACGTTGATATGATCGAAACTGTAATAAAGTCGTTAATACAATGGATCGTCCATAAACTCATTAATACTAATTTTGATCGGAAAAAGTGCAGGTGTATGAATATATTAACAGAGTAAACTAAGGCCTAGGTCAAACGTCGCTCATCTCATGCCCCGAACCTAATGCAAATAAGCTGAAACAAAGACTTTAATTCATTTGCATTAGGCTCGGTGCTTGAAAAGAGCGACGTTTGACCTATAGGCCCAAGTAGCAGGTTATGATATTTAGGTTCACCTGCCAGTCGACTCGTGTAGCAGGTGAATAAAATTAAATGCAATATTTTTACAGGTAGGAAGTAAATCCAAAGACAAAAGATGTAAAAGAGGTTTGTGGAAAACCAGGGGGGTTTGCGACTAATGCAAATGTATTAGACAAAATATCACAAAGACAAAAATTTAAATGCGAAATTCCTCAGTTAAATAACCGTCCCTTAATTTCTGGCATTTTGAACGAACCTTGTTTATTGACGTTAACATTAAACTATCAATGATATAAATGAACTGTATCTGACAAAATTGGATCGTCTGAAGTCCGAACAAACCTTAATACAGTAATTTAGTTAAGCATAATATTATATAAAAACCAAGGACTTTCATATAAAGTTACAAAAATTTGGTAAAATTAACAATATCTTTTTTGCGATTCTAGTTTCCCTCCATTACAATACTTCTCTTTGCTTGACATTGGAAGAGGCGAAAAACTATTGCTCAAAACATAACAACACGTTGTTTGAATTCGATGAAGACGAAGAGTTATCTAATTCAAACAATGCAAACAGATTCCGCCAAAGAATTTTGAAAGCATGTAAAATAGACAAGGGTGTTGACGTTATGCAGAATCAAAACTCTTGTAATAATAATACTTGGTGTCGATGGGCAAGTGAAAAGAAGATTTTAAGAAATATTTTGCAGAGTAACAACTCCTCTTTCACCATTTGTCCTGAGAATAGGGCAAAAAGTAAGATCGAATTATGCATATGCATGCGTTTCTTTGTTGATTGCTTCAGTAGTCTTTCTTCCTTCCTTTCTTTCAAATCCCTTAAAATATGTTAGTGAAAGAAAATAGCGTTTTTAAAAGTAGCTGGGCCTTACTGTTTATCACTTTATGTCCATTGAACTAAATTTAGCTACCATGAAAATTTGTGTTGTGTTTTTTTTTTTGGTGTCTTAAAAAACTATAATATAATCTATATGCTATAATTTTCAGAATCATCGTACAAAAGTCTTTCAAAGCAAACCCCCTCTGATAATCGTCTACCGTTCATTTGCGGAAGCGAAATCTTGCATAAGGTGCGAATAATAGTTGTTTATATTTTATTACGATACAACAGGACTTAAAGTTTAGCTATATGTTTTTTAGCAGCGACATGAAGTGCCAGTTGCTTTACAAACGAATTATTTTTGTGGTACAGAGATTTGCATCTACTTGGTAATTTACATTACCATGCATCACTGAAATAATAAACAAAGTGATTGTTAATTGATATAAATTAAATATATAAAATATATCAACTTTGTGAATCTAGTCAAATAATGAAATAGAAGATAACATCGTGCAAGGGCATTCAACTCTACTGACAAAGGCAAATTTAAAAAAACAATGTTTACTATAAAAACTTGCCATATAAAGCTTAAAAGAACACATGTTTTGTAGGAAATGCTGCAATCCTATTTCCGTAATGAACAACTTGGTGAGACGGGTTCGAAAGCTGGAAATCAACCATTTATTGACCTAAAACCAGCCAGAAAATTAATAGCTCTACGCAATTTTACGAAGAAAATGATCGAACTTGTCAACTCAACTTGCTCTGACGAGTCGCTCAGGGCAGAGAATGCACGTCGTTCGAGTATGTGACAGATTTCATTGATTTTTATCAGTTAATAGAAATCCTAAGAATTTTCTTGCTGTATCACGAACTACAGTATATTAGTCTTGAATGTTGTTTGCAGACCATAGTCAAGAATAAGTTCATGCAAATATTCATGCAACTTTCGTCTCCAAATGGTTTACGAGCACACATGCACGTATATATTATATATAATAAATAACCTACTATTAACTCAGATCCTTTGGTCTAATGTCTTTAAAACGACGGGAAACCTGTTGAATCAACGAAAATTGCCATTGGTATGAAGCTTATATGACTGTCCCTTTTTCCTCTTCTATAGAAATGGAAATCACCGTATGGAACTCGTTTGAACGCGGAGGATGGAAGAAGACTGGAATAATGCCGTTTAAATCAATTAGAAAGCTTTGTCAAGGAATTCGGAGAAATTGTGAGTAATATCTATATTAAAACTTTTTATCCCGTCACACTATAATACACTGATTTCAATGGAGATGACTGACTAAGTTATCCGCTACAGCAGATATTTTGAACGATATAGGTACTGTGAAACGGATTATCCATCGATTAAGGAATGTTTCAGTCAGCGTGGACAATCTGTGGTACGTATGTATTGCTATATGACCAAAACCAGAAAAATCGCGAAAAATCCAGGATATCACAATTTCTTTTTTTGTTTTTCTTCAAGCAAATTTCATTTGTGTAATTTAGGACATCGTCCCCGCTTACCGTTTCTGAAATCATAACCTTGGATTATATTGCAAATGGACAACTGTTATCAGCACTTGACAATGAAACAATATCTTTGAGCTTCTCCAACACGATAAAGAATGTTCTTAAGGAACAGGTAAAGAGAAAGATTAGTATTACAAGTGTTTATCTAAGTGTTTGCATTGTAGATCTATACCTAAGTGTTTGCATTGTAGATTTATATCTAAGTGTTTGCATTGTAGATTTATATCTAAGTGTTTGCCTTGTAACTTATCTAAGTGTTTGCATCGTAGCTTTATATCTAAGTGTTTGCATTGTAGATTTATATCTAAATGTTTGCATTGTAGATTTATATCTAAGTGTTTGCCTTGTAGCTTTATATCTGTGTTTGCATTGCAGGAACGCGGTGTTTTAAGTAATAAGCTGTTTATGCATGTCTTATTTCAAAACTTTGTAAAACATATATTTTTTATGTGTGATAATAACTTTTTTCTGAGATTATTCTTACCCAGTGAACTTAAAGTGACCTGGACCGATGACTCGGTCGCCATTTTGAAGCCAATTTGAGGCCGAATTGGCACCATTTCCAGACAATTTCTATTGTTTTCACGCTGCCAAAAACATTGGAAGGGAGCAGCACTGGTGCCCAATTCTACTTCAAAGATGGCGGCTAGATAACCTTACGAAATTATCGTCTCAGTCTTTATAGAGTTCATTTTTCTAAACAAAAATTCCATCTACCAGGAAAGAATTCTGGACAAAAGTTTATTTATTATTGTTTCAACCTTTCAGGTCAAATGCTTATTTTTGGATGGTGAAAAATGGAGCGATAAAAATATGAGTGTTGGTCCCGTCTATGAAGAAAATATTACATGCTTGGCTCGTCATTTAACAAGCTTCACAATGGTTATTCTTCCAAAAACGGACAAGGTAGATCGTGAAGGAACAGGTTTTTTAAGTGGTCTCTCTTTTTTGTATTGTATAATTACTCGCTTACATGTTATTTATTTTAGATTGGGACTTCTGATGAAAAGGCATTAGATATACTTTATTATATCGGGTCTGGGCTGTCACTGGCCGCTCTATTGTTTTCGTGTATTATCTATGTTGTTCTGTAGTAAGTATATTTATACAGTCCTCATGTTTATCTCAGCTGATCGACTGAAGGCCGTGCATGGACACCGCGGGAATTGGTATACACTTACTACTTTGCCGCAACTCTCGATACTTAGGCTACAAACTTGGCGAGAAAAAAATGTATAAATACTCAAAAAAAAACATGTCTGGCACAAGATATTTAAAGCTTGCACACGGCAAAAACGAATCGCTTAAATCAATAACCTTGTGGATAGTTTAAGCCTCAAAATGGCCATTTCACAGCTTTCAGATAGTTGTGATGAGCTGTCAATGGCGGTGCAATGCTCAGTGGCAAGAGCATTGCACCGGCATCGCAAAAGCGTAGGATCGATTCCTGCCGGAGGATCGACCTAGGGCTAAATATAGTTACTCACTTTTCCATCAAGTGTTCCTGCCTTGAATTTAAAGTGTGTATAACTCCACTAGAAATTAAGACCCTTTTAACCTCTAGAATTTACCTGCATCGAGTGAAGCGCCAAAAATCATAATTGATTTGCGATAATGATTATTTTAATTTCGTTGTATTTTCAAATTTTAGCAAAGATCTGAAGATTTTGACCACCAGTCGTCACTTGGTACATTTCAACTTGCAGATTGCATTAGGATTGACCCAATTGGTTTTTCTCGTCGGGGGGGTTGCCACAGAGAATGAGGTAAGAGGTTCATGATCCTAATTCATGCATTTATTAAAGAAAGTTGAAACAAAAACATGGCAAGCTGTGCAAAGAAAGGCTTGAAAACTCTTTAGTTTCTATATAGAACTGTTATAATCCCAGAAATCTTATTTCCAGGCGAACTGCTCCTTCAGATCTGTACCCCACTGCCGAAGCTATAATAGAGTCATTCTATTCGGGTTTTATACCCCTGCCTACAATCCAAACCCAAATCAGTTAATATAGGCGCATGGTCTAAACTCATATTTTCTTCAATTTCGACAGGTCGCTTGCAAGGTTGCGGCGATTTTAGTGCATTATTTTTCTCTGGCTTCTTTTGTATGGATATTTCTTGAAGCTGTGATGCTTTATTTAAAGCTAATCTCTGTGTACAGTGGAGAGTTTGTGAGAATGAAAAATTTCATGATATTTGGTTGGGGTAAGTGTATTTATATTTATGACTGTATGTTGAATGCTAACTTCTAAAGGTCTGTAAAGTCTGTAAAAACTACTATTAGTACTATTGAAATCCATTACATCCTGGTAGGTGCAAAAATTTGTTGCATTAGCCAGTAAAATTTCGTTTTATGCACTTTGAAGGAAGATCTTGTAAACCATCCAGTAAGAGTTTTTTGATATTTCACAAAAAGTGTCGACTAATTTAATTCACAGGATTTCCTTTGATATTTGTTGGCTTTACCGCGGGAATAAAAACGAACATGTATGGAACAGAAGAATGGTAAATGAAAGTATAAAACTTTTTCCTTAACAATGGCAAACCGCAAACGAGTATTAAATCATTGCTATAAAAACTCTATAGCCTACAGCTGGATTAAGAGGGTGGCGTGTATATAGCTAGTTTACGCATAAACAACTGAAAAATCAAAGCAGAGAAGAAAATCCTTTAGATATTAACGTATTCCTGGTTTGCATATGACGTCATAATTAGTAATTTCTCACCATCTTGGTTGATTCTACAATGTTTACTTCTGCTTTTCAAGAGAACAAACTGCGTTGTTTTACTTTTTCCTTGTTTATTTTGCAACCGCTTATCATCTCTGTTGTATTATTGGGCGGGTATTAAAATATACGGCAACGACGAAAAATTCTTTGTGCACATGTGTTGAAAAATCAACTAAGATGGCGGCAATTGCGAATCACCTATAGACGCCATGGAACAGAAACACCGTCTGAGATTGTGCCTATACATGTACCCCACAGGCCCATATCACCTGGTAACACATGTTGAGGCATATATTTTGAGAGAGATGAATTGATGCAGTGTAATTTAAACATAACTCCGATAGGAATAATAACAGAATAGCATCAAATAAGTTAATCAAGCTCTTTTGGATCTTTTTTTCAGTATTTAGTCTCGGAATGATCAACTCACATGTTTAACTTCGTTTTTCCACAGGTGCTGGATATCTTACGAAAATGACTTTACCTGGGTTTTCTTGGCGCCAGCGATAATAGTAGTAACGGTAAGTATGTCTCTACTCAATGAATGGAACCTGCCTTCAAAGATGGGTTTGGATTTTAAAAAGGGTCAAATATAGTACAAAAGATTGATAAGAATAATCATGGCGATAAGCCTTTTACGATATTTTATAATGGAAACAAAGGGAGAAATTAACCTCCTAAAATATATCTTCATCTTTGCCGAATAGTCACGTCGTTAATCATTTGCGTTTTTTGTCTTGCATGATGTGAATAAACATGAATTTGCTGATTGTATGAAATACTTCCAGTAAATTTTTAGCTATCAGCTCAAAAACAATTGAGATAGAGTTTTTCTTCATTACAGGTAACCCTAGTTGTTGTTATCGCCGTGGCTCGTGTAGTGTTTCGTCTTTCGAAGTCGAAATGTACTGATACCAAGAAAAGGATAATGTAAGTTTTGTAATATTGGCTCACATACAAGTTCAATAAGAATTCAATAATGGGATGATGGGCTTTAATTTTTATCACAAGTTTCTGGCTGTGATATTGGATATGTATGCATGTGTGTGACTGAGCAAATACCATAATATTCAAATATGTAATTAGTTTTTTCGTAAAGCTCTGCAGCCCGAGGTGTTATGATATTATTTCCAACTCTTGGTCTCTCCTGGGCTTTCTGTGTCATTGCATTCCACAGCGATGACTTGGTGTGGCGCTATCTCTTCACAATATTCGCATCACTGCAGGTAACACACATCACACTAATTGTTTACTAATTGTTAATTGAGTGCTCTAATTTTAGAGTGGATCCCACCCCCTAAAATATGAGGTAGAGCTAACAAATCTGCAAAAATGAGCAAAACGGAAAGAGAGGTTTTAAATCACTAGTATTCATTCATTCCAGAGAATATATCCCAAAGAAAAATATTCTTTGTAAACTAAAAAGCGTATGCGTCGCAATTTCATTGCACTTGCTAATGATATGACATAATTATTCTGTTAATCTATACTAGTAGAAATAAGTTGTTGTGTGTTTGTGACAATACAAAACACAATTTAATGATGCTTCAACGTTCAGAGCCTCGTTTCTTCACTTCAGGGATTTCTTATATTTCTCCTCTATGGGGTTTGCAACAGAGAGGTGGGTACCCATGATCGGCGTGATGATAGTTTACATCTGTTATAAGTGTTTTTATTCCTCGGAATCCATTTCTCTACACTGTGAGTTTCGGGCATTATATAAGACATCCGTTTACACACAGCGATTTATCAGCCCCAAATGATAAGTCAGTGATATATTTTACTGCAGATTCGTGTCGCAATTGGTCGGAGAATCGGTCCCAACGTCACCTCCTCCTATTCCACGTAATAGGGCAGGTATAAATTGTACTTATTCATGAAAACATGTTCTTTAATCTTTGGCATCAACCAAGACGTTAATCCTGTAGACTTTGTGTACTCATATATACTGAACTCTTTAGAGTTGTCCAGAATTTTTCTCTCTGTTTCGGTTGTAGGTTCATTTTTCAGCTAATTCTTACACTCAAAATTTTTGACGTAAAAAAAAACTGAATGTTAATACATTATCTCAATAAATTAAATTTTTAAGGCCCACACAGATCGGACGCGATTTGGCAACGCGGCGTGATTTTTCAAAGTTTTTCATTCTCACTTTAACGATAACATATTTTGACTGCTCTGTCATCCACAGATTCCTAATTTGGTTTCCAGGAATTAATTCATGTTCTTCTGAAAACTCGCGTCGCGTTGCCGCATCGCATCCGGTCTGTGTCGACCTTTAATGTCTCTTACGCGTCCGACAACTCCATATACACCTAACTGTAAAATCTGAACCACTTTAAAGCCCGCCACACACGAGAGCTATCAGCTGAGCTTACAAGCTCGTGCGAGGCAGTTATCTCAGCCTGAAAACCATTCGCACACGTGAGAAACTTGGCTCTCGAGGCGAATTACTCACGAAAAACTATCCGCACACGAGAGTAACTTGCTGAGCTAACAACCACGCGTGATCTTTAGCTCAGCAAATGGTTTATGTGTGTGCATGACGGGTCTAAGGAATATTGAAGACAAAGAAAAAAGTCTCTTTTCAAAAACGTCTTTTGTACTACTAAATAATAATATAAGTAATATGAACCGCATTACCAGACGCTTTAATCTTGTGTAATTTTAATAAACATCTAAAGTAATATGTTGGTTAAATTTCATGGCCGTAGGAACCACGGGGCCCCTGAAAATTCAAATTTCTCCGCAAATCTTGAAGCGTTGCACAGTGCACACGTTTTGAGTTTCCAATTATTACTATAGTCTAAAGGTATGGCGCAGAGAAAGTTTGAGTCTTTCTTTGCCCCAACTAGTACTCTTTTACAAAACTCTGAAGATCCAGATACCGGAAATGAATTTGGTAAGTTCATAACAGTGACCTGAGCTAGAGTTACCTCGTATGCATGCACACAATTTAATCGGCTGCATTTTGGGATGAAGCATTTTTTTTTTGGGGGGGGGGTAAGTTTCTTTTGTTAATTGAAAATCCATCTTTTTCTTTACAACACTCAACCTCGCCAAGTCGGAGATCTTAATCACCTGGTATATATGGCAATCCCAAAACGCTATCTCCAACCAAATGAAAGCATGCAGTAAGCATCTGTACCTAAAATGAACGAGTTTTGTGATTGGCTTTTTGCAACAACAATATAGTGAACAGTGTTTATGATTCCTTCTTTTAGAAATCAATTTCTCTAGTTCATTGTGTTTTATTGTTATCATCAACCAATAGCAAAGCGTGTTCATAAGCAGCTAAGTACGGACCCAATGAAAGAGCAAGACTGAGAGAGCTCTAACATTTTTATCTGGAGCTGGTTGTTGGAAAGACGTTTAGCTTAAACGGTAGATGGAAAACAAAATATCTATTTTTGAACAACGGAGCTGAACTATTTCGAAGTAAATAGTTTAATTTCCAATGGAAGTACGTATACATATTTAATGCGTAAGATGCAGGTTCAATCATTCACAAGATGTACGAGAGTAAACGCCTTTCGATCGAACAACGTGCACTAGCTTAAATAATTTTGATTTCGCCACTCGATATTGAACTTAAGTGAAAAATTGCGCACAATATATATTAAGTATATATAATTACAAAAGTGATTATGGAAAATTCTGGCCTCTGATTGGTCGAGCAACGTTATTATAAACTTAACTGTAATTTTCAAAATGGCGGCGAGTTGGTTTTGTCGGAGGTCTGAAATTATTCCGGAGTAACTACGCTGTAGAACGCTGTTTAAATTGATTTCGTATCAGTAAAGTATCCTTTTATTGAGACGCCGTATAACTGTCGAGAAATTCGTTTACGTTTGTACAATATGTCTCCTCTACAACAGTTTCTCGGGCAAGCACCTTTGTAAATATACCGTGGTCTCGGTTTTTATTTCAGCGATATTCGCCTTGCCATTGGCGAATAATTGTTAAATATGTAAGCAGTTAATATGTTCATGTTGTCCTTCGTGTTTTAGAAAGAAAAATAATAATATATACAGCAATATATGTAATTATTTATTTGTTATTTATATAATTATTATATATAGCTATATGCATAAAATACATGCGGAGATAGATGCATTGATGCGTCAAAACCTCATTTCAGTGTCAACGATCGACAGACGCCTATCAATTAGGATCGACGCCATCTGTGAAATGAATTTAAAACCTTTTCGCATGTCTATTGGCTAAACACGAGAAAAGGTTGAAGTGGTTAGCTTTCAGCTCTAACTCTTTTTTCCTAGCAGCTGCTGTGCAATTATCTCCGGTTTTAAACACTCGCCTTGCCTGTTCGCGAAAAAGAAATGTTCGTTTACGAGACGTTGTTATATATTATCTTCGCTGTTGGTTGGTTCAATCCTGTAAGTATACTAATAATAATAATAAATGTTTTAGTGATTATCCTGTCCTACTATTTAGACCTACATACACTTGGATACCCAATGACGCTATTAATGCGCGCGCAAGCAAAGTTGGGTTGTATATAAAAGCGTTAAATGGCCGTTTGCGTGAAAGCCGAATAGCGTTATCCACCCTGGATAGCATTATCCACCGGATAGTGGTTTTTTAATCGCTTTAAAATTGGTCGTTGGAATAACCTTCATAACATCGTAGTATCCTTAATTGTGGTTTCTTCTTTAATAATTTTTTTTTCCAAAACTAAAATTTTATTGCGTTTCTAGCCTTTGTAACACTGCCTAGCCTTCGTGTTTCTCGTGGATAGCGCTCTACTGCGCTAACGAGCCATTCAGCCTAAACGGTGGATACGTCAATATTAAATATAGCTCTTACATCTTTCTTGAATAAGTCAACTTGAATACTATAATGCACTGAATATGTAAACAGAGTCGTTGCATTAAGAAAAACAACATTTAGTTCGCTTGTTGAATGAAACAATATGGAATAAAACGCTTCTCGACGTTTCGACCTGTGGGCCTTCGTCAGGAGAGTTAGTATGAAAAAAAATAGGGGAGAATACATGTCTTGCATGGGGGCAAAATATTGTATGGAGGTTTTGCCCCCATACAAAACATGTATTCTCCCCTATTTATTTTCATACTAACTCTCCTGACGAAGGCCCTCAGGTCGAAACGTCGAGAAGTGTTTTGTCTATTTAGGCAGTTGTTATACCACATTTGCATGATGCTAAGTTGTTTGAAGACGCTGCCACGCTGCTCCTTGGTTATATTGGAATAAAACTTTCTATTTTGAACTTACCCCCCGTTTAGCTAGACGGGCTTGATACAACCGGCCCCAGCAATAAAGTTTCTATGTAAAAATATACATAGTAGCCTTGGCTGTGCAGTTGATATCGTTGTTTGCAGTTAAGTTATATCAATTTAGCAGGTTGCTTTGGAATATGTTAATCGCCTGTTATTTGTAGTGGCGTAGCCAGTCTTGACAACTTTGTCAAGGCTTATATTAGCAAGTTTTAGGTCATCCATTTTTGGGCAAATTCATTGTTTTCACAGTCAATGAACACCAAAATATAACCATAGCGCCTAACGAGACAAATTTTGGGAGTTTGAGATCTACGACGCGGTCAACAAAACATATGCTTGAAATAAAGTAAAACATATGCATAATAAATATATTCGAGAAATTATTTATCCTACGCAAATAAGGCTTTATGTACACTCATATTAACGATTTGGGCCAATTTTATTAACATTCATCACAAATGACATTTTGTTGTGTTTTCTTGCTACTGTCTTTTCAAAATTGTTAATGAAGAAACTTTCTTCACACTGTTGTCTTTCCCTATGTGGAATACGTAATGAATTTATTCTATTCAATGCACTTATTTGCCTTAATTGTGACCAGTGTAGGGAATCAGTCTGCTACGATTAAATTCTCGCAATTGAAAAGAAAACCAGACGAAAAATTTCGTTCGGTCGAAAATTTTTTTTAGTAGCTACGTTCTTTGTCTATATGACAAAGTGATATTAATGCAAAATAATATAAGTGGATGAAAATTTGACCGATTCTATGTTTTCATACAAGGAAACTGAACGAATTCTAATACGTTTCCAAATTTGGTCCTGCGACCTGCGTGTGGACCGTGAAGCTAGCTTAGACTGGTGAACTAATTAACGACAAATATTTTTACAGGTAAGAAGTTATTACCAAGACGAAGACTGCAAACGCGGTTTGTAGCGAACGTATTTGCTAGAAGGCCTGTTTTAGAATGTCGAACTTCTCATGTGTCGAATCGCATGCAAATAAACTTAAACACAAATAATCCTGCTCATTAACATTTGGTTCGGCCTGGTTGGCACAGGAGAACGTCGACTTCCGAAGCGGGCTTAATGTTCTTGTTAATGTTCTTGCAAGAAAGTAAGAACATTTAAAAAAAGAGTTTTATCAAAAATGAGCTGCACTGTCTCGGGCTAATGTACACACTCATTACCAAATCTGGTAATTATGTTTTTGTACCATATCCGTAGACAACCCTGTCTGGATTACAAAATAGTCTAAATAGATTTGAGCACCTAGATAGACGTACTGACAAAAAATTTCGGAGGGAGGGGTGGCGGTGGAGAAAACGATTTTTGGAAAAATTGCCTGGCTCTTGGCAAGTTCGAATATATGCATGTAAAACTCACAATATTCTTTTCTTGCATTGTATAGTGTCTTTCCACTACTATGATTATTGTTTTTATTTGGAAGAGGCGATAGAGCATTGTCTTGAATCCAACAACAGCTTTTGTGGCGACGAAGACTACTCAAATTCAACCAAAGTGTTCAAATTCTTGCAATACATTACGCAAGTGTATTGTGAAGGAAACAACACAAGCGATGAAACCAGTGATGAAGACTCGTGTTACATTCATGATAGTTGGTGTGAATGGGCACAAAAGGAAGATGATCTACTACATTTTTATGAGAATGGTAAGACCAAATATTAGCGAATTCTTTACAAATTCGAAGCTAATGTTGACGAGGTCAGCGTTTAAGACAAAACGCATATTGACTCTCTTCTCAGAATTCGAAATATATACAGGATGTACAAAAAAATACCCCCTATTAAAATCGAGCATTTGTTTGTCAATTTATTGCCGCGCACGGCACAGCTAAAATGGGTGCCCGCGTATGGGCACAAAATTTTATTTATTTATGTTTGTTAAAATGTCCTGTGCCATCAACTAAATTTATTTCCCTTGGCATGCTTAAATTTCAGGGGCCGGTTGTTCAAAAGCAGGTTAAATTTAACCCTGGGTTAGTGCTAAACCTGTGTTAAAATCCTTAACCCTAGGTTAGCTAAACCTGGGTTAAAACTGTGTTGTTCAAAGCTGGGTTGGCGGTAGGGTTAGTTAACCCAGGGTTAAAATATTTAACCTAAGATTAAATGTATTTTAACGACTAAGTTGGATATAAGAACGTTTTCGATTGGTCAATGAACGAGCGTCAAAACTTTACCCGACGAGGATATATTGTCAGTCGAAAGATTTTATGCCGTGAGCGCAGGGTCGAAGGGACGTTGTTTTGAACAGCAATTTCCGTGCATGCAATTTTGGAAAGATTCGAAATGAAAGGCCATTTTGTATGATAAACAATGTCGCGATGTGAAGCAAAATTAAGCAATGTATATTATAAACAATCTATTTTGAAAATTTCAGGCATTCTTTGATTATTCAAAATTCAGGAACAAACGTAGCCTTACCATTTGCTGCCAATCAAAAGAATCAAATTTTGGCATCCGAAACAAATATTTCGATTACGATGTTTCATTTCGTACGGTTGTATTCATTTATCGCGTATTGCATTGAAGCGAAGATAAATAAATCAATACATCAGCTGAAATCGAACGAAGTCAAACTTAAATAATTATTTGCTGTCGAAATTATTCGTAAAACCTTTCAAAAGTGTTTAATTCATGACGAATTATACGTGTTTACGTGTTTCAGCTCCTTATTCATCCATTTTGAATCGAAGTTAACCCAGGATTAAACAGTTAACCCACCTAGCTAGCGGGGTTAATTTTTTTGTCAATTTTAACCCAGGGTTAACGCTAACCGAGCTTTGTGCAACGCAAATCAACCAAGGTTTAAAATTTAACCCTGGGTTAGGCATTTTTAACCCTGGGTTAGCGTTAACCGGCTTTTGAACAACCGGCCCCTGCATTTCAAAAATACCGGAGTACTTTAGCCAATCGCGTCAAGAGATTTTAACCTACTTGCATAAGTGCGGCACAATGTTGCTTACACTTCCCTAACAAAAATGTGACAATGTATCTCAGATGTGAACATATCTCAGATTAGCTCACGCGTACTCTGGTTATCACCTCCCATGAAAGTTTTGACGACAAATAGTTTGATTCATGGCGCTCGGCAACCAACCAAAAAGGCCTCAGATTCATAAAACTTTCATGGCTGTTCTAAAAACTATTGGCAAAGGGCATCCACAACAGCATTACTGCATTATTATATTCTTGGTATATTCGAAATTTTTTTAGGCCTCCTGCCACATTGCTAGAGCATTATTTGCCACTTAGCAATTCAATAATACCCATTAATCTTTTTTGTATGAAAATGACAGTCACCAGTGCAATTTTGGAAACATGGGACCAGAGTTCCTTGGATATTTCCCCCTGCTGTCTCCCGTTCGTTTGCACAAACGAAAGCTTTGATTACGAGGTGATTTGTAAATATCGAATTTTTTCAATATTGCCGAACATAACCGTCCCTGTAGTAACCTTAGGTGAACATCATTAAAATCAACCTCGTACCCAGGGCATTTTTGCCTCCACATTGGGACGTTGGCGAAAAAGGCCCTGGAATCGGTTAGTCACGTGACATCCTGAATTTTGAGGGTGTTTATTATGATAATTTATTTCCTCCGATGATGATATACTGGGTGAGTAAAAAAAAACTGACACTTTTGAAATTCAAATTAGCCGCAAACTTATGGCTGGAATTTGACAATTCCCATGACAGAGCCATTGTGTACAATCAATAAGACGTGGTTAGTTAATGCGAAAGTGTTTAAAGTGCCTATATCACTCGTAGGATCTTTATGCATTTGAAAAGAACGTAAAAAGTTAGTTAATATATTAAAAGACGTTTTTTGATTTAGTGCAATAATTTCGAAGATACAAGCCTCTAAACTAACTGCGGTTCCTGAGTCCCAACCTCCTGGGTTTAAACACGGCTATTCAATTTGAAACTGCCCATTGTCTACAGGAGTCTGGGACTCAGGAACTGCAGGTAGTTTAAAGGCTAGTATCTTCAAAATTATTGCACTAAATCAAAAAACTTTTTTAATATATTAACTAACTTTTTACATTCTTTTCAAACGCATAAAGATTCCACGAGTGATATAGGCACTTTAAACCAATTGAACTAATTCGACGTTCTTTTTTATTACAGAGCTTAAAATGCATTTTAACTCCCAAAGGGAACAAACTTTATGTTATACCTAATTAATGGGTTCACTTATTTATTTATATGCTTCGTAAACCCATAAGATATTTTAGGCAACTTCTGTCTCATTACAGCCTATTACAGACACATTGCAGCTAATTTGAATTTCAAAGGTGTCAGGGTTTTTTTACTCACCCTGTATAAATAATTTACATAAATCGTCCGTAAATTCGAATGAGCCGAAGAGTGACCCGCGAAGATAAACGTTCTTCCAAATTCATAACCCAACATCCTGTCACGTGACCCGCCGATGCGAGGGCCTTTTTCGCCGACGTCCCAATGTGAAGGCAAAATGCTCTGGGTACGAGGTTGTACTAAAATCAGTAAAATAACTTTCTCCTGTAGGAAATGTTGTCATTCTATCTCTATGAATATGATTTTTATGATGATAAATGCGAAGAATCACGCGGAGCAGAGGTCTGACAAATCTGTGAAATGATAAGATGTTAATCTTTTTACTTAGTAATGGACACGTTATTTCGTTAAAAAGGGTTTACAGCGGCCTCAGCGTATCTGTTTTGCTCATACCATTGATCTCTATCTCTTATTCATTTAGAAATATAGCGGACTGAAATGGTAATAAATATTTCGCAAGAACGGGTGTTTTTAAGAGATATAGCGATCTATTTTATTGTATTTTAGTCTATAGACACCTGTCTACACGATCCAAGGGAAAATATAAATGATATAGGGGTAATAAGGGTAATAAATATTGCACTGATACACGGCTTAACGGACCGAAAGCTTTGCAGTCTTAAATACTTACGTGGTGTACCTACAAGCCAATTCACTTATTGATGTTACCATTGCAAACATACACGAATATTATTAAATTATTTGCTGTTTATAAGGTATTTGTATTTTAACAGCATACGGAGTGCGAAGATGGGCAGCTCCCTGATGAAGAAACAGACCAAGAAATTCTTTCATTAGATGCTTTACACAATTTTATGGAAAATATAATTCAATGTGTCGACTCGACCTGCTGTGATAAGTCGTTCCGGGCAAGAAATGGTTCTTTAGGTATGCAACTTGCAGTTTGGTATTGAATTCTGTCTAACTTTTCCTGTTCTAGTCCATCATTATTATTATTATACTATTAATTTTATGGTTGTTTCTAATCAATTTATCGGGCACAATTATGGAAACTTGCGAGTGAAAAAATTCTGTATGATGCTAATTTGTCCCTACTCTTTCCTTTTTCAGAGGTGGATATTTTCGTGTGGGAATCTTTTAAACAATTAAAACAAACGGAAGCGATACCATTCAAAACAATCCGGGAGTTATGTCGAAATGAGACAAATTGTAAGTAAAATCGATAAAAGGTTTTGGCATTGAGAATCCTCCATTATGCGGAAATTAGCCAACTGGCCGCCATCTTGGATTGCTGAAGATACACATTGTTGCCCAAAAATATGCTGTTACTAGTTTGTCTGAAGTAGCAAGTTATCTGAAAACATTTAATGCAATTTTTTTACAGTCAATTACAGTTTATACGGCGGACGTCATTATTAAATATCACTTAATAAGTTAAAATATTTATCCAAGATGGCGGCCAGCTCATTCATTTCGGTATCTTTCAAAAAAAGTTTTATACATAACTTCAACTGTTCTTTTATATGAAACTTATATGAAACAAGGTAAAGTACCGCACCCAAATTTTCAGTATTTGGGGACTTTTATAGGTACTGTGAAAAGGATTACCGTTCGAGTGAAGAATGTCACAGTGAGAATTGACCACCTGTGGTATGTGTTATCATTAATTGTGTGTTCAAAAAGGAACCCAAATGGGGTTCCAATAATAGAAAAATACTTACTAACAAGTGTGCCCATTTCAGTAATAGCAGACTACGTCCAAGCTGTTTGAGTTTCAACTATTTATTCAATTTTTTTTCAACTTCGTTGACTATGCATAACGGTTAATTTTAATTGTTTAGGGATGCGCGTCCTCTTAATTCTTCTGACATCATAGCGTTGAAATATATTGTGAATGGGCAATTACTATCGACGCTAGAAAATGAAACAATATATTTAAGCTTTCCTTACAAGCAGGAAAATGTTTTGAGAGAACAGGTAGTTCATTACCAAGATTCGAAAGTTTTGAATGTACAGGTGTTTTTGGTACTTTCGGTAAAGTCCAAAGTAACGATGGAGCTTTCCCGAAATCATATCATCACGTCCACGGGCCGTGACAATCGATCTCAAACAAAATAATATCATAGAATGCATAATCTATTATGTGATATATAATCGAGCCACACTGTCACTAAATTCAACCAGCCAATGAATTAAAATATTTCTGTAAGGTATCGTCAGCTGAAATCGGCTTTTGATTTAATTTTTAATTTTCAGGTCAAGTGCTTGTTTTTGGATGGCAAAGAATGGAGTGAAAAAAATATTAGTGTTGGTTCAGTCAATGAAGACTTTAAATGTTTCACAAATCGTTTACCTAGCTTTACTATGGTTGTTCTCCCAAAAACAGACAAGGTAGACCGTTTACCAATATGCCTCAATTCTGTTGTAAACTATATCACTTGTTGAGATATATTTAATTTAGGCGAGCCGTTATTATACCCTACGCTCTCAAATTCAGGGTGTCACGTGACCAGCTAATGCCAGGGCCTTTTTTTCCGACGTCCCAATGTGCCCTGGGTACGAGGCTGCACCAAAATTACTAAAACAAATTTTTCCTGTAGGAAATGTTGTCATCCTATTTCTATGATTATGAATTTTATGATGATGAATGTGAAGAATCATGGCCAGCAATCATGGTCCGTCAAACCTGTGAAATGATAAGATGTTAATTTTTTACTTAGTAATGGAGACGTTACTTCGTTAAAAAGAGGTTACAGCGGCTTCTGCGTATCTGTTTTGCTCATATCATTGAACATAATCTCTATCGCTTATTCATTTAGAAATATAGCGAACTAAAATGGTAATAAATATTCCCCTGGAACAGGATTTTTTGAGAGATATAGCGATCTATTTTCTTGTATTTTAGTCTATAGACACCCTGTCTTCGCGATCCAAACGAGAATATGCCTAATATGTTAAATTAGCTTCAATTTCTATTGTAAATTGACGGTTTTGAAACCATTTTGACATGAAAACAAAAATGTTACCGTGTACGCGCGTAAACGTGCATATAACCCAAGGCTCGCTTTAATGCAACATATTCGCCAAAAAATTCTTAGTGTTGGAGTCAATAGCATTATCTAGACAATAGCACTGTGCTATTGCATCAGTGCAATTGATTTAGGAAATATAGTCAACTGAAATGGTAATAAATATTGCACTGATGAAGGCTCGGGCTAAAGGACCGAAAGCTTTGCAGTCTTAAATACTTACGTGGTGCACCTAAAAGCTAATTCACTTATTGATGTCACCATTGCAAACATACAAGAATATTATTAAAATATTTGCTGTTTATAAGGTATTTGTATTTTAACAGTGTCCGGTGTGCGAAGATGGGCAGCCCCCTGATGAAGAAACAGGCCAAAAATTTCTTTCATTAGATGCTTTACACAATTTTATGGAAGAAATAATTCAACGTGTCAACTCGAACTACTCTGATAAGTCGTTTTGCATGGCAAGAAATGGTTCTTTAGGTATGCAACTTACAGTTTGCTATTGAATTCTAACTAACTTTTCCTGTACAATTGAATTTGCTCTTTTGCTATGATTTCCAACCTTTATCAACGTTTACCTAACTATTTCGATGCATTAATCCTTTATTATTATTATTATACTATTAATTTTATGGTTGTTTCTAATCAATTTATCGGGCACAATTATGGAAACTTGTGGGTGAAAAAATTCTGTACGATGCTCATTTGTCCCTACTCTTTCGATCCTTTTTCAGAGATGGATATTTTCGTGTGTGAATCTTTTGAACAATTAGAACAAACGGAAGCGATACCATTCAAAACAATCGGGAAGTTATGTCGAAATGAGACAAATTGTAAGTAAAATTGATATAAGGTTTTGGCATTGAGAATTCTGTATTATGCAGAAAGTAGTCAGCTGGCCGCCATCTTGGATTGCTGAAGATACCGAAAATATACTGTTACTCGTCTGTCTGAAATAGCAAGTTATCTGAAAACATTTAATGAAGTTTTTTTTAGTCAATTGGAGGTAGTTTTATACGGTGGACGTTATTAAACCACACTTATGAGGTGAAAATTTATCCAAGATGGCGGCCACCTCATTCATTTCGATCAAGATGTTTTAAAAACATACATAACTTTTACATAACTTTAACTGTTCTTTTATGTGAGACAAGGTAAAGTCCTGCACCCAAATTTTCAGTATTTTTATCCTTTTATAGGTACTGTGAAAAGGATTACTGTTCGAGTGAAGAATGTCACAGTGAGAATTGACAACCTGTGGTATGTGTGATCATTAATTGTGTGTTACAAAGGGAACCCAAATGGGGTCCTAATAATAGTAAATACTTACTAACAAGTGTGCCCATGTCAGTAATAACAGAGTACGTTTAAGCTAACCTTTCAATTTCAACTATTTATTCAAATTTTATTTCAAATTCGTTGATATGCATAACGGTTAATTTCAATTGTTTAGGGATATGCGTCCTCTTAGTTCATCTGACATCATAACGTTGGAGTATATTGCAAATGGGCAATTACTATCGACACTAGAAAATGAAACAATATCTTTAAGCTTTCGTAACAAGCGGGGAAATGTCTTGAGAGAACAGGTAGTTCATTACCAAAATTCTAAAGTTTGAACGGACAGAAGTTTTTTTGTACTTTGAATCCAGTGAACTCCAAAGTAACGATGGAGTTTGCCCGAAATCGTATCCTCACGTCCACGGGCCGTGCCAATCGATCTCCAACAAAATAATATCATAGAATGCATATGTGATATAATCGAGCCAAACTATAATTCAACCAGCCCATGAATTAAAATATTTCTGTAAGGTATCGTCAGCTGAAATCGGCTGTTGATGTCATTTTTTAATTTTCAGGTCAAATGCTTGTTTTTGGATGGCAAAAAATGGAGTGAAGAAAATATGAGTGTTGATGCAGTCAATGAAGACAATATTACATGTTTGACAAATCATTTATCCAGCTTTACTATGGTTATTCTTCCAAGAGCACACAAGGTAGAACGTTTACCAATATGTTTTAATTGCTTCCATTCTGTTAGTACTTGCTAAGATATATCTAATTTAGGTGAGCCGTTTGAATAAAAATGTATTAAATGTGGTCAATTATATTGGATCTGGACTATCACTGGCTGGTCTAATTTTCTCATGTATTATATACGTTGTTCTGTAGTAAGTATACTGTATATACATAGCCTTTTTTTTCAGGTAATCGATCAATACTACGTGTAACAAGTCACTACAGCAACCTGCACCAAATCCGTTGAATTACATAAAGATAATAAATAACACTAGAGGAGGCATCGAGGAGAAATTGCGGAGCGTGCTAATGGGGGGCAAATCCAAGTCCCGGATGTTCGCTCATTCACGATGCCGAGAACAAAATATGTCGAGATTTTTTATTTCTAGGGTTTTTGGTCTAAAATATCATTTCAGGATGTCCCAGTAGTAAAACCAGTTCAAAAAACACTGCTTTTCCTCAAAACCCGGCAAAGCGACCTGAAACAACCAATAGAATGTTTTAATACAAATTTTAGTTGTTGCTAACAGGGTTGCTGTGGAGGCATTGATGCAGCTAATAGGCGCTTGGCTTTGAATCTGGGACTTGAATTTCACCCCCCCCCCTCCCCATCAGCGCACTCCCCTTTTCGACTGAGGTTTTCGATACCAATGCCTTCTCTAGTGTTATTAATTTTATAATCTTTATGAAGAATTTTACGTACCGTCAACCGACAGCAAATTCTGTATGTAAACAAGGAGGAATTTCGTTTTAAACTAATTGCCATATTTGTTTACATTTTCAAGCAAAGCCAATCAGAATGCTTGAATTTTTATTACTTCATGTAAAATGGCATATCCATACAAAATATATCCAGGATTAGTTTTCTCTGGCTTCTTTTGTAGGGATAAACTTTTTATCATTTATACTTTTTATACAAATTTATGCATTCTGATTGGGTTACTGAAAATGTAAACAAACCTGCTAATTGGTCTAAAACGAAATTCCTCCTTGCTCTGTATGTAACTACAAGTTCGGCAGTCATGTGACAACATTTGTTTTAATTCTTATGCTAATTGTAGTAACTTTGAATCAGGAACGGTTATCTCATTAAAAGAAACATCTCAGGATTAGTTCTAGCGATTATTCAAAATTACACTTTAATATAATTTTGTTGTGTTTTCAAATTTTAGCAAAGATCTCAGGATTTTGACGACCAGTCGTCACTTGGTACATTTCAACTTGCAAATTGCATTGGGATTGACACAGATTGTTTTTCTCGTTGGGGGAAATTCCACAAAGAATGAGGTAACAACTAAGCATTTATTCAAGCGAGTAGAAACACCAAAATCATGAGAAATCGCATGCTGGAAGTATCATGATTACCACGGTGTAATGGCTATGGGAATTCATATTTGTAATTCGGCCCAAGTTCCCCGAATGCAATATATCATTGTTGGAAAAATTTAAACAAATAACAACCGTCGTTCTTATTTGCAGTGTTAATCGTTATTTTTTCAATTTTGACAGGTTGCTTGCAAGGTTGCGGCGATTCTAATGCATTATTTTTCTCTGGCTTCTTTTGTATGGATGTTTCTTGAAGCTGCGATGCTTTATTTAAAGCTAATCTCTGTGTACAGTGGAGAGTTTGTAAGAATGAGAAATTTCATGATATTTGGTTGGGGTAAGTGCCACGTATAACTTCATCATCATCATCACTCAGTCATGCATGTACCAGCCAGTGTATTTCTTCGAAATCTAAGCAAGAAAGTCTATAAGTTCTGCCAGTAAAGCATCATGCATTTCGTACATTTTGAGGGCCAAATTTTAATTTTACATTTTAATAACTGAATATATTCAACCTTAACTTGAACATTCATCTTGTTTTCTTGTCAAACCTTCGAATATAAGTATTTAAGATGATTTAGTATTTCAATCAATGTCCAGTAACGCCATACATTATCGCTTCGATTCACAGGACTTCCATTCGTAATTGTTGGCTTTACCGCGGGACTAAAGACTAACAAATACGCTACAGGACAATGGTATTGTTTATTTTCTTGTCCATGCATGAATGATGAAAAAAAAGGAGCACATAAGGTCAAATGCTGGTCTAAAACTTAAAAGATGGCTTCGTAAACAGTTTTACGCATAAATAACAGAAAAATATAACCAACAAGTAATGACGTACTACCTATTAATGTTGATGGGTAACGCCTAAAATATACACTTCTAATTGTTTTAGAACCTCTTGATATTTCAACTTTAAGCGATGTAGTAACTGTAATTTTATGTTTTGCATTCAAATAATGCAACCAATTGCCTTATATCTAAAAACAAATGCAAAAGCTTTTCTAGAATAGCTTTTATTCAGCATTAGAGATCTTAATTATATAACTTATCCTTTTATAGGTGTTGGATATCATACGAAGGTAGCTTTTACTGGGTCATTCTTGCGCCAGTGATAATTGTAGTATCGGTAAGTAGGTTTGTACTTTATGTTATGATTAATAAGATAAAGCGGCCTCTGCATGTATGAGACATACACTGATCTCAACCTACAATTCTGAATCTAGACGAAAGAGTTAAAATTATTCAATACAGCACTGACAAAACAATTCATTACAGGTAACCCTTGTGATTGTTATCGCTGTGGCTCGTGTAGTTTTTCGTCTTTCGAAAACGGCATGTACTGATACTAAGAAAAGGATAATGTAAGTTTTCATATTCGTGCAACGGCATTGTATTGTTGCTCCACATTATTAAGCTATTTCACAACCTATTGCATCCGGATGTTCCCTGGAAAAGTTTAAAATTCCAAGCCAACATTTCGTAAAAAAATACCAAATTGTTCCAAAAATACCTCATTGTTCCTAAAATACCTAATTGTTCCTAAAATACCTAATTGTTCCTAATTATTAATTAAAAATCAGTCTTTATTTTTGCGGTCAATTTTTGCTTTCTAAAATGTATATGTATCCAGCGGATATGCATTTCACTGTGTGAAAATCAGGTGCATTGAGATCATGAGATGTGATTTGTTTCCACTGGATTTACTGCTACAATAGGACTGCAGCTCGAGGTGTTATGATGTTATTCCCAACTCTTGGTCTCTCTTGGACTTTCTGTGTCATCGCATTCTACAGCGATGACTTGGTGTGGCGCTATCTCTTCACAATTTTTGCATCACTGCAGGTAAAAATGGCACTCCACGAAGTAATTCCCATATATCCCGAAAAAAATTTTTACAAACCCGTAGTTAGATATTCAAGTAGTAGACTTCGAATTACTCATGTTTTTATAATACAGACATATTATTTACATGCAATATAGTAGGACAAGCATATCATACCAGAATAAAACTGGATTTAATGTTTCACTTTACTTTCGCTTCACTTCTTACTAGGGATTTCTCATCTTTCTGGTCTATGGCGTTGGCAACAGAGAGGTTGGTATAACCCATAGTATAACCTGTTGTAATATGTTTTTTAAACCGTATTATCGGATGGAAATATAAACAAAGGTTTCAAGCAATATATCTCATTTCCCCGCATTCAAACCATTTCTGAGTATAACTGATTAAAGATAGAAATCACCGGTACATATAAGTCGGACAAGACGTGAAGATAATGTTTCTAGGAAGAATTATTAGAATACGCTTTGACACGTACGAAAAATAATGAGGAAGTAAGAAATTTAACATTTTGTATTTTAAAAATCAGGCTAGAAAATATTGAAATGGGGACATGTCGCAGCTCTCGGAAGCTTTCGTATGCTTTCTAAACAACGAAGCTGTGCTATTGGTTGAAACAGAAATGTATTGTAAAGTTCAGCCAATGAAAATCATTCTTGCGAGGAGCTGTGACACTACCCTTAAAATGCATGCATGCCGTAGTCTATATAATTTTCATCACGAGCACTAGTGGAATATTCGGTCACTCAATTAGGCAACTTTTTCTGTCACGTTGTTGTTTTAGTAGCCGGTTAAATCTTTAGGTCGTATGATATGCGTGTATTAAGGTCAACGGAAATCGTATATAAGCATTTTTTTCAGTTAATTTCAATGCTAATATTTCGCCTCCAGCTCAGTGAATGTAAGCTTATAGAAACAAGAATAGAGCAGATTGTAGGAATATAGTGGTTTGCATGAACAATTGTTTTGGTGGAATTTGTTGACTAACAACGTTCACGAAAAATATTTTTGCTTGATCTCCATAGTTATTCTTCATTTTTTTGAAGATTCGTGCAGCAGTCAGGCGGAAAATAGGCGTCGAAGCTAAGCCTTCCTCTTCCACGACTTAGGGCAGGTAATTCGTACGTATATACATACGAAGAAAACTGATGTACTTAAATATAACAAGCGATTTAGCTGTTACATTTAACAATTATTGGATGAGGTTGAGTGTGATATCGAGAACTATCAAGCCGAAGTTTGCATTATTTGCCGAAGCAAAGCTGAGGCGGATAACGCAAACTGAGGCTTAATAATTCTCGATATCATGCGAGAACCGAATTCAATAACTGTTTTATTATGTATTTCCTTTTTAGAGAGGAAGCCTGCGCCATTATTGACAACAAACTAGCAGCAATCACAGTCGCGTAGGTTGCAAGACGTTGAGAATTATCTGTAGGTTTTTAGCCAATCACAATCGAGATTGCATTAGTAATGCATAATAATGGTAGAGGTGTACTCATCTTTTATGGCAATAGTTTATAGAAGTGTTTTCATCCCCAGTTAGGTTACCAATTACATCTCCACATTTTAACTATAGCTTCACCAAACTGTGATTTATAACTAAATCGTAATATTATATAACAAAAAATTTTAAATGACACTATATCTTCAATTGACAATAATTAAATATTTAAACCTATACATAACTATTAAAAATATGTTTACTTCACAGAGTGTCATAGTATAACACAAGTTATTATTTTACGGCCTGATTCCATGTGCGCTATTTCTTGGAATTTCGAAATTCGGAAAATTTCGACTGTTTCTTTTGAATTGTGACCACTTGAATAAATTAATTATGCTTGATTGCTCACAATTCAGGAGCAAGCGAAATATTTCGCATTTCGCTGAGAAATAGCGCCCGTGGAACCAGGGCTTTAAAGGCTGTTTTGCACGCGAAATTTTGCGCGCGGTGCGGAATTTTTCATTGCTTGCACGCTTTCATGCAAATTATTATTATTATTATTAAAGATTTATTTAAACACGGTAGCCCTTCAGCTAAAGCTGATTTTCAAGGGGCCGTTTATACTATTATAATACATTAGCTAAGTAAAAAATAAATTAAACTAATATCTATAGAGAATATTTACAGCGTGACATCGATCAGTATATAAGCTTGTGCAATAATTTGTTAGAGCGATTCCAAAATAACTAGTTGAAATTTGCTTATAATTGTAAGTTAGCTCATTAGGTAAAATGTTCCAGGCACCGGCTCCTCGTAGGAAAAGCTTTTTTTCATAAAGTTCCTATTAGGTTTATCTAATCTGAGCCTGTGTCTGCAAATGAAAATTATCAAAAAATTCACTGCGTGTTCAGTTGAATTTTTTGCTGTATTTTCTTGACCAATATAAAGAGTAATTTTCACAAACTTTTTAACATGGCAAATAAATCGTCTGTCATCCAGTGGTTAGATCATGACAAATTCACCGGCACAGCAAGTATTACAAGCGCCAATTACTCGAGCCCTTTTAATTAATATATCATGACTGCATTCGCCTTAAAAAAACTCGGTCTGTTTATTAAAGCTTTTAGATTATTTCATGAACGACTTGATAATAGTTATTGTTTTTGTCTGCCATTGCCCATGATTTATAATAAGTATGATGTACTATTTATACTCAAGCGCGATTGGTTGGCGGGACATTAATAAATAATGTGTAAAAGAATAAACTTTATTAACTCTTTTTATTAATTCTTGCTCATTTGTTAAACGTGTACAGTTTAGATAAGGTTAAGAACGTGCTGAATTTGAAACAAACTTCATGCTCTGATCATGTCGACCAGACGTGGTGGGATACTGCTTTTTTCTCTCGACGTAGTGCTTATTTTTATAACGGTAAGTGGATATTTTTTTCTAAAAACGTGTCTACATATATGTAAACAATTCCAATCAATATTGTGCAAGTATCTCTTTCGAAGAAAAAGCTGCTTTGAAAGGTTCACTTTTATATACAACAAGCCTATATTTTACATTGCTGGATTGCTTGCTTGCTTTTGGTAGAAGTTGAAGATCATTGTTGTGTTTACATGTAAATATTTTATTGAATCGTTTTTTTAAATGGCATATTGAGCGATTATTGCCCTTTTACTTAAGGTTCACTAAGAACGTTCCTCTAATAATTATTGTCTGGTCAGACTTGAAGTAAATAAAAATTAAAGTTTATAAAACTGCAATTTAGGCGAATTTTGACCGGTTGCATGAATTTCGTTTGGCTTAACATTAATATTCAACACATTTAGCGTGAGGAGTTTAATTATTTACTGTTTATCATTTCACTAACTCCTTCGCTGTTTCAAACTAAACGAGCCTTTAGTTTCCTTGCTATTTATCGTTCTGTCCACTCGAGAATACAGTAGACGAACTTTCAATAAAAACGTTCCTCGCTATAATGTTTCTTTTCTCGACTTTATTTCACAAATGTTTCAGGCCAATATGTCTCGTTTTCCATTCAAACCGTTTCTGATTATGACTGATTAAAGATAGAATCGTCGCCTGTCAAATTTTGTAAGCCAAGCCGGAAAAGACGTGAAGATAATGTTTTCAGGAAGAATAATTAGAATACGCTTTGACGCGTGCGAAAAATAACGAGGAAGTAATAAATTTAACTTTTTGTTTGTATTAAAAATTAAGCTAGAAATCTGTTAAAATATTGTATGCCGTGATCTACAACTTTCATCACGAGCAATAGTGGAACATTTTATTGATAATTTCTGATTATCTTTGAGACCATGTCAAAATAATATATTCTTGCATAGCCCGCCCTAAAAAGTATTGACGTAAATTACTTTCTACTATGTCTACATTTTTAGCTGAAATATTCAACTACCATGACTGCGCAGGGATCCGCTATACGTGGTATGAATACATATAGCATATGGCATATATTGCATGCTTTGGTGTCTTTGGGAGTTTACATGCAAACAATGTATCCCGTGTGATTTTAGCTAAATATAGAATCGCAATGTGATACGATCGTATATGCAAGTATGATAGTACACGTATTGACCTGTTCCAGCTGCCGAATTTGTCATGCATATGCCAATTTTGAAAATGGAAATAATTACAATAAATTTGACTCGTGAAAAAAAGACACTGACATCCTATACTTATTTTTAAATAATCTGTATAGACTATAGGTACATGCGTTCCAAAATAACCCGAGGATAGTGTCACAGCGTCTGCGAATAGCTTGTAATCAAATGTGGTGTAACAACTGCCAAAAATAGGCAAAAAACTTTTCTCGTCGTTTCGTTCCGGAAGAACGTCGTTTGACGAAGTTTGATCAAAAACTGTGTTGTTGATCAGAGTTAATAACATTTAAGCAATTTGCACAAAACACTTAAACGACTTTCATTAAACAGTTTCTTTCGGTTAAAATGTTGCCTTTTGATAAAAAAACAATGAATGTTATGGGATATGCATGCGAATCTGGAAACCGAAAGTGATGAGTATGTTTTGTTGAGAAGAAAATATTTACGAAGAAAATAAAAAATTTATGTTATGCGATTTTATAAATAGACTACTTAAGGCAAGGTGTACCCACAAGGCGATATACGCCTTGCCAGCGATAATTAAAACTCTTATATGATGGGCTTGGCGCCCCATCTAAAAGACCAACAGGTAATGAAGTGCACGCAATATGCATGGGAAAGGTGGTCATTGGCCAGCAGCAAATCGAAAACTAACAAGACTGAATACCCAAACCACAAATGGTCAGTTTAAGCGTGACATCGTGACGACGTATAAAATTGATTATTGTGACGGCTTAAGATTTTATAAATAATGATTGATGCTCAAAAAACTGAGCTGTGGAAGTGGTATGCAAAATTCATGGCTGGCAATATTATATGTATGCGTAAATAAATCACATTACAAAAAAGGACGTTCCGTGATTGAGTTGAATATTTTGAACAAGTATATTGTTTTTGACTGATTGATTGATTCATCAAATTCATATTTGTTATTGTCACAACGAGCATTAGAAATATTAAATTTCAATACAGTCCTTCGTATAATCGCGAATTTTTGTCAACGAATCTTCCATTCGCCAAAGAAAAGGGCTTTCAGGTCGTCGTTCGATACGGCGCCTATAGCTAGCAAGGCCAGCACCCGGCCATATTTTTTTGCGCAGGCAGACTTCAAATTTTCAGTGCAAGAGATATTTTGTTGCGTATTCATGACCAATTCCTAACATGGATTATTTAAAACCATGCAATATCCGCGGAGCCCGTCAAACAAAGCTTAAGTTCAAAGTATTTTTTAGTTGAATGCAGACCTCTCGCCCTTCATGGTTCTAAAATACACATAAACATACCAAAACGTCTTGAAGAAACGTAGAAAACGTTTAGAAAATGTTTTGTCTTCCTTTGGCAGTTTTTATACGAGATTTGATATAAATTAGGTTATTCTAGGTCGCTATACCATGCTCATTTTCGGTTATATTCAAGTTAATAGCATTGCATTTTCTAGTTGAAATTCAAATAACTATGGTTATTTCAATTCAATCATATATATAATTCAGGGGATTGGATAAAAGAGCAAGGCGCTAGTTACTTTGTCAGTAGTATCGAAACCACGCGGGACGATGCAAAGAAATCTTGTTCGAGTTTAAACTCCAGCTTGTTCGACATCAAGGACGAACGCGATGCGCGTTTTCTGAGAAACCACATGACATTTGACGGTAAAAGATACTGGATTGGTCTCTCGAAGAATAAGTCGGATTTAAAGAAGGTTCGCCAAAATGAAGAGGATATATTCATTTCTGACGGTGAATGCCTTACAGCAAAGATGGATAGCAGCTCGATTTGGCAGTTTTCAAGAAAACCATGTCATTGGGTGCGAAGATCGTTTTGCGTGAGACCTCGGCGAAATCAGGAAGATAACGAAACAGGTATAAGTTTTAAACAGGAAAATTTAATGACTATTGATCAAGTTCATTGATTAATAATTTAGATTAACTAGAAAAGCGGCTGTGCATATCTAGAATTGTGTTGAGGTACCTATTAAATTTAGGAACCACATTTACACAGTTTCCATTTAGTTAACTGAAAACATTTTGATATACCAGTATAGGATTGCATGGATTAAGATCGACTAACCGGTATCTTTTTTACCTCATCAAAAACATAGTTACTTACCTAATAAGTATTGAAGAGCACCAAGGAACATGGCATACAGCCATACATGCATGTATAGGCAAAACAAATGACACAGGAAACCGAATAGGCTGAACATTTGATTTCTAGCAGTTTCCTAATTTTCCAACACAACCTCGTGTTTACTCCCCACAATGATTTCGACTCTGGTAAAATGAAATTAATTGGTAAGTGCACTTAGATTTTGAGAAGAATATAATCTTTTACTTTTTATACTTCCTTTACTGTGTTTTATCCCACCTTACTCGCCTTTTCTATCCCACCTTTATCCCACCTTTCTCACCGTTTCTATACCTAACTTAAATCACCAAGCGATTCTTTAAAATGCTTAGACACTGCACAGGGTTGTGGTGAAGGTTGGACAAAGTATGGAGACTCACAATGCTTGTTTCCTGTATACCACCAACTAACTTGGTTTGGTGCATATATTCATTGCAAGAGATTGAATGGTCACATCTTGAAACAAGAAGGTGTTTATAACTTGTCGAACACTTCCTTTAACATCAAAGACAATTTTTGGATTGGCAAGAGATATCGATTTAAAATTGATTCAAAAAGGTCCAATTGGACATGGAACAGAGATGATGTGGTGTTCAGCCAATGGTTTGCGTGGCAAATTCGCATACCGAGAGTTGGTTGCCATGGATGCGGATTTTTTGACGGGAGGGAGGTTATCCTGGATTCGGATTGTAATGAAACTCGCTTTGTGATTTGTCGATTTGAATTGTTGGATAGTAAGTCCCAGTTATTTTACAAATAAAAGCAACGACCCGTTATCTTTAAAGATGATAATTATACTTCACATTTTATGTTGCATCAAACTGCAAGCTTGCTTCTTTTCTAATTCCAGGTAAATACTTGCCAAATGCGACAAAACGACTCTCATCTTGGTCCGAGGGCGAAAAAATCTGCAGCCGTGATTTAAACAGCAGTTTACCTCAATTCACGGAAGCAGGTGTTGTAAAAGCATTTAAGAATTCTACGAGCGACTTCCCCAATGCCTCTTTTTGGTTAGGGTTACGGAAGAAATTTGAAAATCAAGATCCTTGTATATCAATAGAAGTTGAAAACGATGCAAAATTTACGGATTATACATTGGACAAATGTTATTCGGTGAATTGTACGAATTTAGGGGAAAAACCGAAGAATACGGCCTGCCGTAATCTACAACATCCACTTTGCTATAAAAGAAAAGCCGACGATATAGGTAAAGTAACCACGACCCAAAAGTTTGTTTTAGAAGAAGGTTTGAACTTTTCACTGTTGTAACAACAGCATTATCATCTTAATCTCGATCTAAATTGCTAGATCTCAAAGACTGTGCAAAAAATTATTGATATTTAAGGTTCCATATGTTTTTTTTTATATTTTTCGTAACAGGGCAATGTTTAGAACCTTGGCAAGACTGCAGAAATGCTTGTTGTCTGGTACTTGTTAATCTGCAAACATCTTGGATTGCGGCATACCTGTTTTGCCTTCAACAGAATGCCACACTAGCAGATCATAACGATTTGTTGGGCACTGAAATTAACATAAGTTTACAAACTACATCAAAACGTTGCTGGTTGGCAGAACGAAGGGTTTATACCCCGCGTGATCCGTTGGACGGATGGCTTTGGTCTGACGGTACCCCACTGAATAGCATCGGTACTTGGGGAGTATACGGCAGATTGAACTATAATGGAATGTCCAAGCGGTGTGCTACACTGGTCACACATGATACATGGGAGGAAAAATTTTGCAGTTACAAGAAGAGATACATTTGTAAATTAGAGAAAGAACTGTCTTATGAAAAGGTATGCGGTTTTACAAGAAAAAATGCTAGCAGAATTGAGTTGCAATGTTACAAATTATAATTATGTGAAAAAGCTGAAACAGCTTTCCATAACGAGAAAATTGTATTAATCACTGCTCTAAACGAAGCCAGAGTGAAATGACTTTGAGGTTATGAAATGAGCGTATGGCATGATTCTGGCAATGGTGCAGTCATCTCTCCTTTGCATTCTAGTCAAGTAAAATTGTATAAATCACTGCTCTGACTATAAACACTATAGATCTAACAACTATGTATAAACGAAGCCAGAGTGAAATGACTTTGAGGTTATGAAATGAACCTATGGCATGATGCTGGCAATGGTGTAGTGATCCTAACAATAGTATTTGCTTGTTTTGTCTCAAAACGGCTTGTTTCAATGTCTCAAAACCTTCAATCAGGCGGAACTAAATCAGCTAATCAGATCTTATTCACTAAGAGGGAGCTCTTGTTTGCCCCAGGAAAAAGGGTGCATGGAACATTCTATATATAGCAGAGATTAATTAAACTTCTAAATTTCAGAATGCAACTAGCATGACGAAGCAAAGTGAAATTACTTTTAAGGAAATGCGGGTAAATTACACTTATAGTGAACTTATATGATAAATGAATGTTTAATCATATTACAACAACGTCTGGTGACCGAAGAACGTAGATATCAATCAATTTCTCAAAGCAAGATTGCAACTGATAAACAAATTATAGGAAACCTTGAATCTTACTTTCTTGCAGAATACGAAGAATCAAAAATCAGAAAAAATTTTAACAGATATCCTGAATGTAGGAAAATATAACGTTTCGCTAGCAAGTGAAAACTCCCCTTTGCATTCTAGTTAAGTAAAATTGTATTGATCCCTGCTCTGACTATATACACTATAGATCTAGCAACTATATATAAACGAAGCCAGAGTAAAATGACTTTGAGGTTATGAAATGAGCGTATGGCATGATCCTGGCAATGGTGTAGTCATCCTAACAATAGCATTTGCTTGTTTTGTCTCAAAACGGCTTGTTTCAATGTCTCAAAACCTTCAATCAAGCGGAGCTAATCATATCTTATTCACGAATAGGTAGCTCTTGTTTGCCCCAGGAAAAAGGGTGCATGGAACATTCGATATATAGCAGAGATTGATTAAACTTCTAAATTTCAGAATGCAACTAACATGACGAAGCAAAATGAGATTACTCGTAGTGAGAAAATACAGGTAAATTATATTCATAATGAGCTTATTTAAGAAATAGAAAACATTTTCCGTGTTTCTATATAGTTATAGAAACACGCGTGGGAGTTTGGGAGAACGAGAAATAATCAGTGGGAAAACGAGCCCGTAGGGCGAGTTTTTTCCACATAACTCAATAAAAAGATTTTGTACAAATATTATAATTCGATTCAATTACAAATTCTCATTACATCGCTTCGCTTGTCAAGTTCGGCGGGAAAATTCCAGTGTTTCTATACAGTTATAGAAACACGTTTCTCGACCAATCAGCACGCGCGTACTATAAATGTTATATTATAAATGATAAATAATGTTTAATCATACCACAACAACGTCTGGTGTCTGATGGACGTAGATATCAATCAATTTCACAAAGCAAGATTGCAGCTGATAAACAAATTATAGGAAACCTTGAATCTTACTTTCTTATAGAATACGATAAAGCAAAAGTCAGAACAAGTTTTGAGAGATATCCTGAATACTGGAAAATATAACGTTCACCTAGTAAGTGAAAACTCTCCTTTGCATTCTAGTCAAGTAAAACGTTTGAGTGAAACTTTTACTTTTCTATTTCTCTTTATTTCTCTATTTCTATATATATACATTTTTAATTCTTTATTTCTATTTTTTTATTTCCTTTTTTATTTATCTTCATTTCTATTTCTTTTTATCTTTATTTCTCTTTATTTCGTTAGAATCAAACTAACGATCACAGTGCGGAAGGGATGTTGCAAATCTTCACAAATTTCTTAATTAAAATGGTGAACAAAAGCAGTTTTAATTCCTCCTTTGAAATAAAGAAGGAATCATTCGGTGTGTATTTTATCTTCTTAGACGAAATTCTCTACTACTAGACTATATACTCGTAATTTATGTACTTTAATTCTTATTTTGCTTTCCATTCGTTTTTTTGCAATTGACTTATATTGATATTCACGACGCGAATCCTGTCTGACTCTCATGTTTAGAACTTATTATTTTCACGACGAGCCTGGACAAACTACAGAAAGAAGATAAGAATAAAACATCTCTTATTCCTATAATTACCTTAGGAAAATTGTGTGATAATCGTCAAACCTGTGAGTGTAGCATTCAGTTGAAAATTGCAGTTTCGCGAAATTAAGTAATACCTAGAACATGCACATGCATAATTTTTTCTAATTTTCTCCTATCAGGTACAATAAAAGGAGTCCAGATGAAACTGAAAAATATTACTTTAAATATTACTCTCCAATGGTAAATTATCCTTTATTATGAAAGCATATTGATTGCGGCAGCGTCAGTATGAAATTGAAATCCGAAATTTCAATGTTTTGTTGTCAATAAAAAAGAGAAAAATCAAATAAAACAAAACGAAACGAAACAAAAAGAAATCAAACCAAAAGAAACCAAACCAAACAAAATTAAGCAACAAACCGTTATCAAAAAACGTTAGGTTTCTTTTAAACAGTGGCGTAACCAGAACGATAATTGGGGGGGCCATATTCATATATTCGTGATACGTAGGTTTAATTTCTTTTCAAACCAATTGTCTTACAGTCTGTTAACATGAATATATGAATATGGACCCCCCCAATTATCGATGCAGACTACGCCACTGCTTTTAAATAATATTTAGCTTGGAAGATTAGCTCGTGCATGCATGCACTTTTAATGTTTTTGTTGGTTTTTTTCTGACTGTACATGTTTTTACCCCAAAGTTTTTAATTTCATAGGGAAAGCACAATTTCTGATATAATATCATTGAGCTATTTAGTCGAGGGGAAAATAGTCAGTGAATTACAAGAAAATGAAAGAATCCTCCTTCAGTTTGGAAAAGCGAACCACAACAAGAAGAACAACAAAAATGATGAAGTAAGCATTTAAAAGCCACAATTTTTCTGGTTTTGTTACATGTTTACACTTATATTTTGCTATAATTAAATCATTATACTTTCATTGACAGGTTCACTGTATGTTTTTGGATGGAAAGAAAGAATGGAGTCAAAGAGGATTAACATCGGGACAGATCAATGACAAAAGTGTGGAATGTTTCACGAATCATTTGACGAGTTTCTCAATGGTCATTGTTGATGCGGAGGTGGAAATTACCAGAAATTTAGCATGTTTACCAAATTCAAATGCTAATCATTTATTGTTCCCATATTGGATGCATGCATGTGTGTATTATTTGTTTAAAAATTACATGCGGTATGTTTGAATAACCGGTCAAAAACAACTCGGAACAGTCATGTGAACTTGTTCCACCACTAAATTCACCATGCAGTATTGCGATAATTCGAGGTATTGGCAGATAAACATCGGCGTTCATAGTCCTCTTTATTCCTTTTTCCTACATTTTTGATTACGCGAGAATCATAAAACAATATTGACGCAGCAGCCCTCTCTATCTCACCCAATTCCCTCTCTATATCTCACCCAATTCTATAGCTGGATGAGGAAAACACACAGATATTTAGCTTGATCGGGTATATTGGATCTGGTTTATCGATCGCTGCACTGGTATTAACATCGTTGGTTTATATTTTTCTGTAGTGAGTAACCATCCATTTTTTGTTTGATTGAATTATCGAGCTAGACCCTTTCTGGATGCATATTTTCATTTTGTATAGGTTGAAAACACAAAAAATATCGCAGTAAAAATTGTATGAGCATGGTATACCTTAAACTAACAACTTTGTTATGGATCATAACACTGGCGAGATCATGCATGCATGTTGTCATTAAATTCTCTCATCGTCCCGAGTTGCACCTCTTCATGATGACAAAAATATTTAACCTTTGAACCTTTTAATGAGTTTGCAAAAATTACGAAAAATAATTCATTTTCTATCTGCGTAATAATAACTTGAATTAACTTGATATTGGTTACATTAACCATCTCGAAACTAGTGTAGGTTATATATATAATTCGGCTTCATCGTTTATCACTTAACGTGAAAAGAATTTGTTATTGCGTTTCAGTCATTCTATTCACAAGAGCTTTTACAATTTTGTTTCTTTCAACAGCAACGACATCCAAGTGTTGTCTAGCAGCAGACAGTTGGTACATTTTAACCTTTTGGTTTCTTTGGGGGGATCTCAGATTGTATTCCTGTTTGGGGGAAATAGAAGCGAAAATGAGGTCAGTGTTTAGTAATTGCAGCACTTTTGAAATTTTTATATTTTGCCAGATTCTCGAGACTTTTTTGTAACAAACGCGCAGACCATGCATGAATTGGTTCGAAACATATCAAGCGGTCGCAACATACTCGAAGATAAACATGTAAACAAACCGAGTTATATATAATATAAAGTGTGTAAGAAAGTTGCTACAATTGGTGCACAACTTAACAATATGATAATGATAAACACATATTTATTTCTAAGAATACCTGCCAATATTGTATCTAATTTAAGACATTACAAAATTCGCTATTTGAAACGAAAGGTTATAGTATCAGATTAATATTCACGATTTCGTTAGTTTCAGATATTCAAACTTTAAAATGTTTCTATCAAAATTTTTTTTTAGATATTTTGCAAAATTGTTGCAATTTTGTTACATTACTTCACCCTGGCTTCGTTCTGTTGGATGCTGTTAGAAGGTGTGTTGCTGTATTTGAAGCTGATTTCCGTATATGCTGGTGAATATATCCGAATGAGAAGGCTTTTTGCATTTGCCTGGGGTATGTAACATATTTCATTTGGGAATGTGAATAAATTTTTATAGTATAGCAAGCTCGTTCGTATGGGGTTAAAACAGTTGTGCGATGGTCAATTTTTCAACAACATTTATCCTTTTGAACAGGATTTCCTCTGCTTTTCGTTACTGTTTCTGCTGCAGTCAACATTGATGGTTATGGTACAGAAGAATGGTAAAGAATATTATAACTCAATTAAATAGGCCTCCAAGCATGCATTGATATCATAGTACACAGTTATCATGCGGAGTAGATATAGGCCAAGTTATCAAAAATTAGTACTCTTCACATATAGATCTATATGAGGTCGTTTCCTCGATTTTGTGCTGATTTTTATTTAGCGATATTCAATCACTTTGAGAAACAGCCTTTGATAAAATTTTGGCAATGCAGTTTCTGTAGTAGGCACTATGCAACAGAGTTGTAAGAACGTTCGCAAATTTGTGAATATAATTTTATAACTTTTATTATGCACTTAGGTGCTGGTTGTCATATGATATAAGTTACTTTTGGGTGTTCTTTACGCCGGCAATCATCATTATAACGGTAAGCGAGACGTTTCTTCCGTCTGTGAGTGCTCCTATTGTTATACACTGGGTTGAAATCCTTTGATATGTTTTTGTAGTTGAATGTAATCATCGTCGTTGCTGTGGCCCATGTCCTTTACAAAGCTACACATACACATGAGGGTAATGAAAAGCAGAGCATTTGGTAAGAACGAAAAATGAAGTCCTTACATCCTGCCATTTTTTCACTCAAAGGATCGATACAGTCCTATAACCGCTGATGCAGCCACGAGTATCCCGCAGGCGCAATGCTTGAATTGTTTGATAAGTATGGCTGGTGATATGTTCTATAACTTTTTTAGTGCTGCATTCCGTGGTATTGTGATATTATTTCCAGCGCTTGGATTGTCCTGGATTTTCGGCGTTATCGCGGTCAACCATGATGCATTGGTTTGGAAATATCTTTTTGCAATACTTAACTCCCTACAGGTACACAATTAAGATTTATTATTAATTGATAAAGCAAAATCGCCGATGAACAATCGGCTTGAGGAATATATGAAGGATATACATCTTGATGGAGAAAATATCCAAAGTCCTGAACTTCTTCTCCACCTGGTTGACCCACTGTAAAAGAAAGCCAGTGAATTCCTAAGCCCAATTTTACATCGATTTACTATCTTACCACCCTGACAAGTAACATGCATTAATTTATGTTTATTTTCTAGGGACTGCTAATTTTTTTGCTCTACGGAGTTTGCAATGGAGAGGTATGGTCATTTAAATATTGTAATCCAGTCAACCCATACACATAAAGATCGTTTCACGTGAACAAAACCTACACCATATTAAGTACTCGAAAAGGATATTTCACGTGATCAAATTTTCCCTTGAAATTTCTCACAATGCGTAAACTTAATAAGGCTTATACGAGTTAACCCATTATACCTATTGCCATGCATCAGAATTGATAGCGCGAAAATTTGACAATTCTCTAAATAATTGAATATTATTATTTTATAATTAGATCAAAGTCGCTTTAAAACGCAGGCTTGGAAGGAAAGTTAATAATATTTCATCGACTACATAAAACCAGGTAAGACATCAAACAACCTTTGATGAAAAGGAAGCTTTTATAGACGCTTTCTAGAAAACTACACATAATATAATTTTCAAAGTTCTTTTTCGATTTCATCATTGCATGGAAATACATCTTTACTATATTATACATCTAACCCTAGTATTTCACGAATCGCAAAAAATGCATCTATGCATTACAAAAATTAGTACAATTATTTTAACTTAATACTTTATGAAATTAATTATAATTTTATAATTCATTAAAATGAAAAACACGTTATACGCCCAATTCCAAAATCGAAATAGATTTTCATTTGCTTCATGCACGTGGACTGATAAAAAAAACTGTTAAAACTCATTCGCACAAAATCATTGCTTTATCGAACTAATTGTTTTATCGTACACGAGAGTTTATGAAACCACGAACTCTTGCCATGCAAATGTCATCCTCGTTCAGAAAAAGACGATGAAATCATTAGCATTATCATATAAATTAATGTCGTGTTATTCACTGCATTAAAATTCACTATCATGTCTTTAGTAGGCCGCTAAGTTCTCCGCGTAAGTCTGATTGAAATAGTCTCTCTGGTAAGCCAGCATTAAGCAGCATTTCCTGAACATTCCCCGGAACATCATAGAATATCAGTCTTATTCCATGATCCTCGCACTCGTTGGATAATTGGAGCAAGGCTTCGGCTACGGTGAAATCACATTCGAACATTGTCGAACAATCTAAAATGATAACAACTGGTTCGTTATTAACCATCGCCTTTTCTTTCACTTTAGAAGTAAAATACTCGATACCAATGTAGGTAAGTCCGCCCCGCAACTTGAAATGACATCGACCGTTTATCTCTCCTTGGATTTCAATTTTCGGTACGAGACGACGGTACAAAAATACAAGCAATGCCACTACGACCCCGCATAAAATACCGATATCTAATTGGTAGAAACAGGCAAGGAATGTCGCAAAAAATGGGAGTAGATCTATCCGGTTTGTTCGCCACATTCGCTTCACAATCTTGAAATCGACCATCCGCACAAGGGCCATGATGATTATGGATGCCAGAGATGCTTTGGGGATGTATTTGAAAAAAGGTGTCAACACACTTAAGGCCAGTAGAACAACACAGCCCGTAAATATACCTATAAGTAATATAAAAATAAATTATGCCTACTTTTTTGGCACGAAACTCGAGTAGGTAGCCCTATTTTAAGCAGAATTGAAGTACTAGAATTTTTGTTTACTGAGCTAAAGATTAACTGTTTGAAAATACTTTGTTTTGGTACTTCTTTTCGTTTTTAAGTTGGTTTCAATGATTTTACTATAATAAACGATTAGCTAGGATTATTGGAACTTGTATTAAAATAAAAGTTTATCGTCCATTTTTTTTCAACAACATTTGGAATCGCGCGGGGTTATCTGATTCTGAACTTATCCGATTGGTGGAAAAGATAATCATATTCAAAATGAACCAATCAGCTTAAAGTGAAAAGCATGTAATGTTGGTGATTGTCAAAAATCAAATATGGCGGCCAAGGCACAAAAGAAGAAAGGTGCAAACGTGAAACTTATTTCGGCATTTTGTAACAGCGCGATCTATTCCTTCCAACCATTAACGTGCAGCACTGTCTAGTCTTTATCAGAGATGCTTTTAGGTCACATTTATGTACAGGCGAAATTAAAAAAAAGCTAGTAAGTTAAAAACAAAGTAATGTTTTTTGAAAATTGAATGATGTATATTGAATATTCACGTCGGCAAAGGGTAGATATATACTCTTTTGAGTCGCACTGCTTACTTAAAGTAAAGTTTAATCATACCGCAAAATTCCTCACTAGTGAACAATCACTGAACATATATATATGAGTTTCAACTTGGGCCAGGTGGGTTAAAGAGCATGTATCAGGAACACATACCTCCCAATTGGGTTGCAACGCCACTCATTTCGTTAACAGCGGTACGTGAAAAACTACCAGTGATAGGATAACCAGAGAAGAATGATGAAGCAATATTAGCAACACCTATGGTGATCAACTCCTGTGTTGGATCAACCTCATAATGGTTTTTTCTGGCAAAAGCCTGGGCAATTACAATATTTTCAATGAAGCCAATTATCGGTATTACAACAAAGCCTGGACCTATGTCTGCGATCATGTCAAGTGTTGAAACAGTTTTGTTTCCATTGTGTGACTTCAAGCTGGGAAACTACAAAAGAAATTTGGGTTGGAATTAATTCAAAGTTGATATTTATAGGCCTGTTGAATAGAAACTGAGGGATCCGGGTTGTTGGTGCAGAAATATTAATCAACAATAGGCATAAAACTACCTAGGATAAGGTAGGGTGGAAGTGTAGTTAAATATCACTGCCACCCAATGAAAATTTAACTGCCTGTGTTTCTTAATTGTTAAAGCTTTCATGGTATCATATGATGGTATATGTTTACCAAAAACAGCATATATACTACCTTGAAACCAGGCAGGCCTTCCTTAACATTTCCTGTTAATGTGAAAGGTTCTAGACCTTTTTGATAAAATGCCAATGCCACTAAACCACTTGCAAAAACAATTATTGCATTTCTGGCAGTGCATATAATCCATAGAAACTTATGAGCACATTTTTGCGAACGAGTGGGTGGAGCATCATAATATTGAGGTGGCAAGTCCTTTGGGCGCATGTAGCGCATTGCCTCCAGTAAGGCTATGCAAATTACACTTAAAACAACATCCCATTGATTTGTCCCCCCAATTTTTGAGAATATTTTAATTAAACATGGGAAAAATTCCCTGGGTATGTTGGATAGACCAAGTAGGTGTTTGAATTGTCCAAAAGCAATAGTCAATGCAGCAGTGGATGTAAAGCCACTAATTACAGGCAGTGGCATAATGCGTACGATAAACCCAAGTGACAGAAGACCCATTAGTAGCCATATAAGTCCGCAAAGGAAACTCAAGGCAATAGCATAATCAACTGAGTCATGGCGTGTGTTGTGGTTGGCAGAATAGGTAGCTACCATCAGTGACATGATAGCAGTAGGACCTTGGGTGATGTCTTTGCTTGAACCAAGAAAACAATAAACAAATCCACCCATGAATGAACTGTAAAGACCATATTGTGGCGGTAGCTCAGCAATATTGGCATAAGCTAATGCCTGTGGAATTACCATTAAACCCACTGTTACACCTGCGATAACATCACTTTGCAATTTCCTCAGAGAATAGTGTGGCATCCATCCCAAAATTGGCAATCGCTTTCGCCAGTCTATAGAAAACGCTCTCATCCTCATTCTGGAAATAGAACGTACTTAGTTGATTCTCAAACCCACAGGCACAGATAAAATACCATTATAGATTTATAGTCATAGATGTATGCCTGTGCGATTTATTCCATGCATCAAATAATGAATTTCCTCACAAAAGGTTTTCCACTTCTTCCCTCTGAAAATAAAGTATGTTATTTCAAAGAGGAAATTATGGTGTTACAATCACGAGATTGTTATGATTCTGTATGAATGTCGCTGTTTGAAGCCAAGGTCAGCCATCACGTGCCATAGTAAGCCGGGTGAATTTTCTTTATTTTGAAATCCATTGAAGTGAAATGGAAGCATCATAACAAAATGGTGTCGTAAAATTTCGACAAAGTACAATATTTTGTACGGTTTTCAATAATTTTACAATGAGGCTGATGTTTAACTGGAAAGATAGGATACCTATTGTGAAATGGTTACCGAAATATTCATTTTATTCATTCCAATGCGATTTTATTGCAGGCATCACGGTCGCATTGATGGTGATCCCACAGGCTCTTGCCTACGCTGTAATAGCAGGTTTGCCAACCCAGTATGGTTTGTATAGTGCTTTTATGGGAGGCATTGTCTATTGCCTGCTCGGTTCAAGCAAAGATTTAGCCGTTGGTCCGGCAGCAATCATGGCCTTAATGGCTGGAACATTTGGCCGGAAAGATGACCCAAATTTTGCCATAACTTTAAGCTTGTTTTGCGGTGTTATATTGCTATTCATGGGCCTTCTATCACTTGGGTTTATCGTCCGTTTAATCCCTGTGCCTGTTATCAGTGGTTTTACATCGGCTGCATCGATTATCATAGCATGTGAACAGTTGCCAAATTTGCTCGGATTAACTGCAGACTCTGACGAGTTTTTCATATTGCTGAAGGACACTTTTAGTAACATATCAAAGACAAAAATATTAGATCTTGTGCTTGGCCTGATTTGCATGGTAATACTCGAGATTATGAGGAATTTCAGTAGAATTCAGTGGCCTTCTGCAACTGAATTTCCTCCAACGTGGTCGCAGAAAATTGCTAGGAAGTTTATCTGGGTTATGGAAATTGGAAGGAATGCTGTTGTTGTGTTTTCATGTATGTTGGTAGCATATGCATTTCATTGCCAGAACATGCACCCATTCTCATTGACTGGCAAGGTTGAAGAAGGTTTACCACCATTTAAGGTAACTACAAGTGTAGTTTATAATTATTCCTATCAGGTCAGTCATATTGATCATGGTCATGGTCACAGTTGCCTAAGCGGTAACAAACAGTGATTGGTCATGTGTGTCTGCATGATAAAAGTATATGTTTAACAGGCTGGTTAGTTATATATATGTATCTATAAGTCAGTTTTTTAAAACAAAAACCTTTCATACCCTATACATAACACATCTATAGGAGCTGCAAACTTTGCACACTGTTATTGAACAGATATTGTTATTTCATTAATTTATTGGATCAATATTAAGATATTTCATCTAATAACTTTCGTCTTTCAATACTATCACAAAATCAGACATGCTGAGTGTTCGGTATTTGTTGCTAATCAGACAATTGCTACTTGCTAGCCAGTATAATTCTTTGTGGATGTAATGTGTTTAATATTTATATATATATATATACCATGATATATATTTAACATATGTCATTGTACTATATTATATTACTAGTTAATAATCATTCTAATTTTATATCATTCTACACTATACGTTATATTCTATAGAAGTTATATTATTGTATATATGCAAGATCATGAATGCGTCAAAATTTTATAATCACCAAGTATTTTGGTCCCCAATTTAGGTACCAAAACTAAAATCTGGAAATGGAAATAGCACCATACCCACCTCTACAATGCTTTCAGACATTGGCGCCGGACTTGTCATTGTTCCAATGATCGCCTTTTTAACAAGTATTGCAATTGCACAATCATTTTCAAGAAAGAATAATTATAATGTCAACCCAAGTCAAGAATTGGTTGCACTCGGAGTGGCAAATGTAGCCAATTCTTTTGTATCTGGTTTTCCAATTGCTGGTTGTTTTTCAAGAACTACAGTAAATTCTTTGAGTGGTGTTGCCTCTCCATTTGGAGGTAAGAAATAAATTATAATAGGTGCAATACGAAGCGCGGGACTCAAAACAGACTGGAACGATAACTCCGCCGCCATCTTGAAGCCAAATTGAAGGCCGCCATTGCACATTTCAGGTAGAAAAATGACGAAAATAAATCCTATTTTCGTTTTTTCATACCTTTCGGTGGCAAATGAAATTGGAATAAAGTCTAGAAAATTTCAATCTTACCTAGTCTTGAAAAAAAACACGCTATTTGGAAGCACATGATAACCTTTAGGCTAGGCACTACTTTGTTTGTGTCAGGTTTTTTTGGCGCGTTTAAACTTGTACTTAAACTAAAATATTATGAATATAAAACACTACCAACTACTTGTAACATAATTGTCAAGCTGAGAAATGAATGCTATCGAACGAAAAAGATTTTTCTCAAATTTTTGCTTAAAACACTCCTCCTTGACACTCTCCCTAGTCCTTTTAAAAGAGTTTTTGCGCGGTTCCCGCCTTAATCAGCGATCAGGCACTATTCCAATCAGATTCGAATCGGCTTCATCCAATCATACGATTTTAACGGCTTGGAGTTATTGTTCCAGTTATATTAGAGTTCACTGTGCGGAGAAGTCCTTGTGCGTGACAAAAAAGATCAGCATTCTCTGCAATGGTTCTCTGGTGCATTTTAGTGGGAAATTCTAGCCTTGGTGGATCGAGAGATGCTAGACGTCATATCGTATAAGGTCTATTGCATATAATATTACGTGGTGGTCCAAAAACTTTGCTTTTTCGCGTTAACAACACGAAATACTTTGCATGTTCCAAGCTGGATCATAAATGGCAGCATTTTCTGTTTGGAAATGAAGTCTATGGGAAATGCATTATGACGGATAAAAGACGTCATAATAGAGGATAAATCCAATCCTGTTATCCTTTCACACAATGACAATCCGCCTTTGCTGTAACTGATATTTTTAGGTTATGATTATTTTAAGTTCCAGAAAACTCTTTCTCGTTTAAATATTTTATTCTTTTCAAAATACTGGGTTGCAATCAACATCCCATCTTTTTCTTCTACTTCAAATTAATGGTAGACAGTGTCACAGTAGGTTTTAAAATGTATACCTATCAAAGTTGCAGTTGCATGCCATGAGGGAAAATACAATTTGTCTTCAAACATTTTTTAAAAAAAACCTTTTCAGTACTATAAATTAAAACATATTGGAGATGAAAGCGTACATATTCAAATTTTTTACTTCAAGGTGTGGTCACGAGCTGTGTGGTACTACTCGCTCTCAGCATTCTCACGCCATTCTTCCAATATATCCCCAACGCTACTTTAGCTGCAGTAGTGATTGTCGCTGTTCTGCGTACAGTAAACATTCGTATCATCAGAAAGATTTGGCGAATTAGAAAAATCGATGTTGTCCCATTGATTGTAACGTTCTTTGCCTGCTTGTATGAAATTGCGATTGGAATTGCATGCGGCATTGCAGTGGCGTTAATTATCCTACTGTACCGTCACTTTTCACCGAGAGTCGATTTCCAAAAAGGGGAAATATGCTATATTAGGCTGGACGGTGGTCTGAGCTACATGGGGATACAGTATGTTATTACGAAGGTCAGGGAGGTTGCCATCCTGAATGACCCGCAGCCTGAAACCGTCGTAATTGATTGCGCTTCGATGTTCGAATGCGATTTTACCGTGAGTCAAGGCTTCTTGCAAATTGTTCAAGATTGCCAACACGATCACATCGACGTGGTTCTTTTCAATACGCAAGATAATGTGAAGAGGATGTTGATGAACGATGGTTTATCAGCTGAGCTGTTTAAAAACGATACTGACGGAGAATTTTCGCGTTTGTTGGGCGACGACAAAGAGAGGAACGGTATTCTTGGTAATATGAATCCTTCCTTGAAAAATATCAACATTTAATATTTATATGCCGCCGGGCCTCTCTAATACTGACGTAAAGAAAACTTCGTTCTTAATAGTATGTAGAAGTTGACGAACCCCTTTTCCAAGGCATTCTCCTAATTTGCTCTCAAGTAGGTGGGGAATAATCTAGGGATTGGCTGGCCCGCGTTGGCTGATTCTTTTTTAATTTATTGCGATTTTTCTTGATTATTCCAAATTGGAGTGTTGAATGAGCAATGGTGTACCTAAATAGACTTTAAATAACAGGTGAAACACCAGAATTTTCTTTTCGAACTTCGAAAATCTCCAAATCCAGGTTTAATTTTTATCCAAAAGATAAAAATACGATTGATTAAGACAAAGTTAAGTCTTAATAAGAAAGTGAATTTATATAAAACATATTTAATATTTAACTTAAAATTAAAAAGAAATCCTTTTACATCTGGCACAATTAAAAACATGCGGTATTTTATATTATAAGGTGGTGGGAAAATATTTGAAATATGTGCTATGTAAGTTGAATTTATTACTTTGAATACTTTGAAACTTTCATGCAAATCTCTGACGTAAGCGTTCTGACCCACTGATCTACATGCAAAGTCGGTAATAGGCGGCAGTGAAGAATATATTTTGAGGGATGTTTATTTGTAAAGAATGTTCGAAATGCTAAGAAAATGTGCAGATCGTAAGAGAGGTTCGCAATTGAAAACTAAAGATGTGCCGGGAGTTGAATTGCATTGCGAGTTGCAAGGAAAGTTGCATAGTGTAACAGCGCCTTCAGAGCATTGCATGGGAAGTTACTAGGCCACTGTTTTACGCAATGCCATACAAGTCTAAGGCGTAATAAGTTAAGCCCTCCTCTGAAACGTTGCGTATATACCTTAAATTTTCTAACAGCTCAGCTCTGCGCCTGAGAAATTAGAAATGTGCGTTTATATGAAGGTCTATGTATTTATTACAAATGCAAATTTGCTAAATGAATTCACAATTGACCGTAACGAAAAAGATGGCGGCATGTACATTTTACCAGAATGCATTGCGGGCATTAAGAATAATTGACTGAAAAAAGATGGCAAGAAAAACTGCTAGTGATGTAAAATTTTAACACAGCGAAGAAAATAACTTTCTGTTTTATGCCTGTCCTTTAAAACAGGTCAGTTCGCTTTTTTAAACGATTTCCGACCGCAATGCATTCTGGTAAAATGTACATCCGCCATCTTTTTTGTTATGGTCAATTAATTCACAATATAATAAGAGTTCACAATTGGGCAAATTTCCAACGCTAATCAAGCATTGAAATTTCGCGTGCAAGCCGCTTTCAATCTCTTGGAAAAGACACCCCTCTGAGTTTTGGAAGTAATTTGAGATCATAAGGAGCTCAACAACCCAAGTTGACAAAAGATTGCATGCTTCGAACTGCTTATAGTGGCAAAGGTTACTGTGCCTAAGGGCGACTTCAGTGCCAAAATGCGACTGCTTCTGTTTACGATTGAATCGCTGAATGATGAATCATGATTAATAGCCCTTACACAAAGAACAATGGAGCCTTTGCAATAATTGCCTTTCTTTATGGTTTAGAAGGTATATATAAGCGCCCCGGTACGTGCCCTCAAGGAGCTAAATGTCCGCAAATAATCTTCTAGAGGACATCTTTCAAAAGAAGAAAGTAAAAAATGAGCGTGTGTATGTGAACGAGCTTTTATTCTCTGCTAAAACTTTCCATCACTGAACCAAAAGCATGAAAAAATGCTTGCCTAAAGTTTCGGTTTCTGACAGTAACCGAACCTCAGCTTTGCGGTTCTTGCTGGTGCAGTGCTCGACATCTTCGGCTACGGAGTTACGTAATTGCCTTCGCTTCGGTATGAACAAAGAAATATTTTCTCAGTGTTCTAATATTGCTATTTTCGATTTTTATATAAAGCACCGATTTAGGTGACTAAGTATAGGAATGAACCACCTGCTGATCGAATCGCATTTTCCCGAGTCGAGAAGAGCAAGTTTAAAAGCGACCCCTATAGTGTAACCTGGACAACATTAATAAATATTTAGGGTCCACCAAGGACAAAGACTATAGCGATTGTAAATACAACATTAAAAACCTCAATTTAACACCTCTTTTAGCCGTGTATGCGTTGTGTTAATCGTTTGCTTGGGCAAAGGCTAATCGTTCCTTATTCCTAGATGACTGACATTTTGACTAATCCGGGCAGGGCTACAGCGCATGCTTTGTATATTTCTAATGATCGTCATGACAACGCTTGCGTCGCCACATAATAGCCCTGGCATGTAACTTCAATGCTAAATTGTATGCGTTTGAAAAATTCTCGCGTGGGCCGAGTCGGATATTGCAATTGTACACAAAAGGCAGAAATATCCCGACCGCTTCCCTGTACGTGCGTATTTTTGTTACGCTTTTACGTCGTCGTGTATCAAGTTTCAACATTGGTCTCATGATGGACGCATTTTGTCGATTTCCGGGTTATAAATTCGTTCTATTAAATAGTAACTAATCTCGCGATTAACCGAATGATACTAACTGAATGAAAATATCTCATATTCACATCCGGTTGGGGAGGACGACTGTATCAATAGCATCATTGATAAGCAGCGAGGATAGAATATGGTGTACCAGCCACTCGGTAACTGAATGGTTTTTCGGCCAGACGGAGCTTGTGACTATCGTTCGTCAACTTTGATAAATGAAATGGTAAATGTCTGCGATGTGGCACACTGGTTTCGCGACGCAACCTCGGATAGGCGCTTGGAGGCCCTATGTCGCCTTTTAGATTGCTGTATGCCATTGGAATTACAGTTCCTCAAGACGTACTTAGACGAATTGTTGAGACGAAATTTTGTTGGGAATCAGCACGTTGACTCGGCTATGCCAGAGTTGCACGAGATTACCGATTCGACATGCCGTCGACAGTTGTGCCTGATACTAACTCGTCTCAAAACGGCGAACGTCCTGGCCGGCTGTGTTTATAATATTTTGATACAATACAATTTTAGCGAATTTTTTTCGCGTGTTATGGTTATGGAAGAGGAGTTGGTCGATGAGATATTATTGTTATTCACATTGGCCGCTAACCACCCAGCGATGTCGTTTTCCCAGCGACGTAACCTGCATCAGCGACTCAGAGACCTACGTGAAACTATTGAGAAATCCTTCAAGGTATGAAAAGTACAATTTTTTATTTTCGAACAATAAGGCATTTTATTCGAATGTACGCGAGTTTTGTGCGACTCGATACCTCACTTGTCGGCACGATTTTATGTTGTGTGAAAACAGCGTAATTTCACAAAGGTTGGTTGCAATAATAAATAGCTATTATACAGGAAGGGCATATCGCAAAAATATACATGAAATCACGCAAGTATCGAGTTACTTTCGATTTGTGTGTGTTCGCGGGAAATAATCCCTCTATTCAATATAGAATATTTAACTGTTCCAAATTTCGTTTGTCAATAAAGTGTCTTTCAGCTGTATTGTGTGTGGAAGCAATAATGTTTGACTAGGGATTAACTAGAATCGAGTGATTTATTTCTCCCCCTTAAGTGAAAGATTGGGAATTCGAACTTAGCCCGATAAATGAAAACAAATGTCTCAATATTATAAGTGTCACACAATTTAAGTAATGGAATTGCTACATCTGTGCCTCTGGTGTGAATTTCTAACGCGAGATTGTGGTGAGGTTGTATTTCATTAGACAGAACTTCTCTCGTGAGATGACAATGCTGCCTTTCATGCTTTTTCTAGTGTTACCACGCTACTGATGTTTGCTTGCAACACAATCGAGAATATGTATGCAAACCTCTTGAGAAATCAAGCACCGAAGAATCGATGAGCTCAAATGAGCAACGACCAATGACCGAAATGCCGAGCACTGAGCCAAATATGCAACCTGCCGAGAACGTCGAGAAACCCGATGTCTCTGCTACTGAGAATACTTCTGACGGTATGTATCGATTGATATGACCCTTTATGGGCTATATACAGTTTGCCTATGTGTACAGTATAAAATATTCCCCGCCGATAATCGGCGCTAACAACCTCTGATAAATACTTTGCGTATACAAACAGAGTTAATGCATTTCTAATCACGGACAAGCGAAAGCAATATTGGATATATTTTTAATTCAAAATATTTGCTAGAAGAGCATTTTTGTCTGGTCTTAATTGCCCCCGGGTAACTCCTGTCAACACAGACCGGGTCTCCCATATACAACAAAAATTTTGTGCTCTTAATTGCCAAAATAGTAAGGAACAGATAGCTTTAGATATCAATTGTTTGCCAAAGTTTGCCTTTTAATGCCTGAACAATTTTTCGATATTTCGCTCAACTTTGTCTTTAATTAGGTTTACGCGCGTTTAATCCACACTGTGTCGCTCTTTATCAGATGAGAAAGAATTTTCAACGCTCAGTTGGTGCCCAGTTAGATTTGTACTCTAGTGCATGCAAACAATGTGAAGCGTGTTTTTTCCCGAATGCATCCATTATACAGCATTGTATTTTCAAATTTTTGCTGCGTGCGCGTTCGTTTTTTTTGCGCAAGCTGTCTGTCGGGAATTTTTTGCAATCTTCGCTCAACAAGATTAAAACAACCAGCTTTTGTTTAAAACCGCTCTTTGCGATTCCCCTTATTAATACGTGCGTTACAAACCCTTATTTTGCCATGTTACGTGTGTATTAACATCGGTTCTCTATATAATTCACTGCTCAAAGATGTCAAATCAAAGTTTTTACCGCGGTTTTTAGACTCATGTATACATATTAAAAAGCCGCTATTAATTTTGCTCTTTTGAATTGACCCAATTTTTTTATCCCCATGCAGCGTCAATGCCTAAACGGCGTTGTGTTGTATACATTTTGTACGTATTTGTTTATGAACAATTTCGACGCCTCCTATCCCTTCTGGACATGCATGAATCACGCCATTCGTTTTTCACAGCTGAATCAAACCACAATTGTTTATCTGACACCTACCTATAAACGGCTATTATTCGCGTGCCGATTTGTAAACTCGCGTGCAAAAGCTCCATTATTAATTAAAGCATATTTGTTTGTCACAATACCCAACGTCCTCTGCGTGTGAATGCAGTATATAAAATATGCCGTTTTGTCGCAAATATAGGCCGCTTCTATTTTAAAAACTGTATGTTTGTAGATCGTATTTCGCGTAAAAACCTGAATAAAACATGATATTCAAATAAGCGACTTTTTTGTCATGGTTATTGCATGTGGGCCTAGCGTGTAGCTATAGCAGGCAATTATCTCTTAGTCTCGAATGACTGTCGTACATCTGATATATTTTATAACCAAATATATATACCATATTCCTTGCTTATAGCTCTTTGTCTTATAAAGCGGGCAAATGACTTTTCTCGAGTATCGAAATATCGCGAACTCTATATATCCATAATCAAAGACGTCGCGTGCACAGTTTTCCGTATGATCCCATTATTAAAATCATGTGGAGTTGAAAAAAACCAACACAGTAATAGCTGCAATGGGCGATAATTGTTTTAAGAAGTCAAATGCGTGGGTATTCGTTTTAACATCACATGTATGGGCAAGAAAGTTTGAGGTTTCACTTATCCCTTGCATGTGGATTTAGAAGATATCCTTGCCTTTTCACTGGGGTCAAACTGCTATACGGGTATTTGGAATCAAGATGAATATACACGCTTACTCAATATATACGTAGTTTTTTCCATAATTTATTTTTTAAACCATAAAGATGGCAATTTGCATTGCCCGCCTTCCACAGTTGACGGTCTGCATAATTTCTAACCAAGTATATTTTTGACCGTATCGTATATACATGCGCATGCATATCTCTGACCTGGGTAAGATCAACCAAATTGCAAGGTTGGCCTTAAATTCGATTAAGCTATATGTTCGCATGTGATGTTCGCATGTGTTCCTTTTTGTTCGCACATATTATAATAAGCGGACGTTGAAAAAAATCTTGTTTTTTGTGCTACCTGTATTCATGACAGCCGCGCTCTCGAATGTTCTCGCGATTGCTCTATATATGCATAGATACGAAACTTATATTTATAAGAAAGAATGAAATTATACCGAAAATCTCCCAGGGTTATGATGGTTTAACCGGCTATAATTGCTTAGTTGACTACAGTAAAATCATAGTTAATGCAGAAGTTAGACTATATTGCAATTACTTTAATTGCTGTAGCTATATCGGCCCTTAACAACAGATTCTTAACAACACTTTAGGCTAATTTCATTAATTTCGTTCATTTTTATTAATTTAATTTCAATTATATCAAAATAGCGAAATTCGCAGCACTTGATCCGCACTTTGATTTTAATGGTAACCGTCAGTTTTCTCAATATATATCTTGAAAAACATTCAAGGGCGCTGATTGGAAAGCTCAAGGGTGAAATAGTCCAAAAAACTTTTGTTCTCTTTTAGCCAGGCTCCAATTTTGAGTACGTGCAGTAATATCCTATATAGCGCAACCACTACTACTTGTTAAAAGAGGAATATAATACAATAATCGAGTAGTATTTCAATTGTAGTTCAAACTAGCCCGTTCATGTAGGTTAACCCAATTAAATCATGCACGCAACAGGCAAGATTGGTATTAATTGATCTGTTTTTGTGATTTGTTCCGTATATCTCACAATGAGGCGAGTTATTATCACATAATTTAGCCTTTTTCGTTCGTACAAAAATATCTTTAACACATGGTACCGACGTTTCTGTACCGTGTGATAAGATATTTTTGCCTGACGATGACTTTGTCTTTGAACTATATAATAAGCTCAAAAATAAACACATTTAAAGCGCCATTGGTTAAAATTCCATCTTGAATTTCCAGATTATTAATTGTTTTGTTGTTCCTCAGAATTTATTTCCTTTTCACTTTACCATATATGAATGGTTATAGTTGACCAAACGTACTTTAATCTTTAAATACGAGACCAAAGAATGTTAGATGTCTCAAAGCTAATGCATGCAACTGACGAGAATATCCGCCGTCTTGAGTAGGATTTCACCCCACCTAAATCACAGATTTGAATCACTGCAAGTCGTTTGTGACGAACGTCAATTAGGTCGAATTTTTTTCGTGCTCTAGAAATTGGATAAAGTTAGATGGTATTCAAAATAAATATATACTCTTGAACTCGTGCATTCATAATGAAAAACCAGAACTTCTAATTAGTCGTAACTATAAAGAGAGAAGTAATCTACATGGACAAAAAATTTTATCACGCGCAATATAGCTAGATTTTTTCGACGTTGGCATTTTTTCGAAAATATCTGCAGTTACCAAAGGCACGTAAGTAAACATTGGTAATTTGAACTGATTGAAATTTGAGTTATGAGATTTCTTATTTGAACATCAGTAACTAATTCACTCGTTCACATTTATCAAAAGAAGAAAATCGCATATAAAATCGAGCGTGTAAACGAACCTTAAGTCATCATGTATAAATAGTTCCCTTCGTGCGATGCGAGGAAAGATATGATGTTTAATTGGTTCGTCGAACAAATAAAAAATGTTTGCACAAGTCCATGATTATATAAAGTTCCTGTCTTCTGACATGCTACCGAAATTGGTCATCACAAATTGTCAATATCAACATCTTTAGGATGTGTACTTTACGTATTTAGATCCACCCAAATATATAAAATACTTAATACTATCCTTCCTTTTCTTAAATGACGGGGGGATAATTCAATTAGCTAATCTGTCATATTTCAAAATAAATCTGGATATTCATCGCTTAAATGACGCCTTTCATCTAACATGGGATATAAAACAACAAAACAAGAACGAGTGATCCATCTAAGTGTATAATTTAATGCGAAAGGCATTTTCAAGAAAATTTTCAAAGAACTGAAATGAATTCAGCTTAATGTTAAAACTTCAAGGAGTTTTGAAAAAGATTGACGAATTTTTGGGGGAAGCCCTGTAACCCCAGGGTAAATTCGGGGTGTTGTATGTCATCAAGCTCTCAGCCTCTCATCTCGTAACCTATTCTATTGAAAAAACTTGCAAAATACAATACAATAAATCTGTGTTAGAATCCTCCTTGGGGGTATACAGTCTTACACAGCTGAGCGGAAGAACTAGAAAGTTCGTTGTCCCAATCGGGAGTGACTCGATCCCCTCATCGGGTATCCAACACGCCGAAAATTTATTGCATGCATGCTAACAGGATTTAGCCAATTCAAACGCACAAAATATTTCCGTGACGACCAGTAGCGAGTGGCATTGTCGGCGTGAAGTGTTTCAGTGCTATTTTAGAACCATTCTCGGGACGCCTGCCGAGAACAACAAAATGTCGGATTGAAAAGGCTGGGTGAAAAACAGCATTGTTTAGGCATGTTTTTTATCAACGGGTAACAACCTGGTCAATTTGCTTGTGAGGGTCTGATGCCTGATGGACGATGTGATAAAATTTTTGTAATTAATATGCACCTTCACTCGCTTGTGCCGCAAAATGCATCAATCTGCAATCCACTTTTACACAATGTCGTTCAATTAAAAAAACCTGTGGTTAAGACAATTTTTTCAAGTGCACTTTGAAACTACAGTTGAGTTCTTATTCTTTTATCGTACGACTATAAAAGACCTTCTGAACTCTGGGCCATAATACAATTTTGTCCTCCAAAATTATTCCCATGTGCTTTGCCTATATTGCACAGAGTATATGTGTTGATAAGAATTGTCATATGTGATGTCATCAATTGTAGGACAGATGAAGTGGTCATTATTTCTTGTATAGACTTTAATATATAAATATATACGTATATAACATACCGAGAATATATTGATTCTAGTTCAACCTATTCTTGCAATCGTCAAAATATATACTTCTCTTTCAACATCCCTATGGTTTTATGTTGACATACTGACACAAAAAGAATGGAAGCGAGCTTTCAGTCAAATCGAAATATTCGATAACATTTCGACAAAATT